TAAAATGAAAACAAAAAATTGAATAAGGTGGCTAAAAATGTTCTTTAAAAATATATATTTATACAAGACTATATGAAAGTGTTCTAGACTATTAACAGTGCATAACCCAAACCATCAAGAAGTGTTGTGGTAGGTTGGGAGACCAGAAACAACTATATTGTATATTTTGTGCGGCCTAATCATCAATGTTGTTGGGAAATATTCAAAGGAAGACCTAGGTCAGTCAAGTAGACATTTTACAAAAGGAAGAACTTTTTGTACTTTGATGGATAGTGCCATTAGTGGTCTCAATGGCAATCAATGAATCATACCATATAACTTTCCAATATTTTCATCTGTGACCGGACATGCCAATTAATATTTCGAAACGCAACAGCTTGTTCAAAGCGAATGTACGCAAGTTGCGGGGAAAACAGTATTTCGTTTGTGCTAACAAGTTGGTAGTCGGTGAGCAAAAGGTAAATATTGGTGTGTCATCGGGTTATGGAACAAAATCTAGAACAACGAATATCCATAATATTACAATGTCACCATTTTTTCATGATTTCTCTTTACTTAGTTTCATTACAGAATCATGCATCACTCACATGTCCCCTTGTATATACTATCATATTTAAGACAACACTTACCACCGAGCTGGTCGGCGACCCATTTTTAACTGAAAATAAAACAAGAAATTGGCCATAAATTCATGTTAAAATAGTTAAATAGGTATGATCGACTTTTAATTGTTTAAAGACAATGTGGTAATAAAAAATATATAGATATGTGTTGCGATGTTGGTAGATTTCTTATCGAACGTTTTCGAACATGTCGACATTACTTACATTTTTACAAAGAGGTCTAAACGGAAGTTCCGGTTCGGGAGGTCCTAAAACAGGGAATGTGAAAATACGCAAAATGTAAAAATGATTTATATTTCTACTTCTATCTCTAAATCAGCCGCTCCTAAATAAAAAAAATCTTCATTTATTATATAGCATATAAAAATAAACATTTCTATTTGAGAGAGTTTGTTCATTTCACGTTCTTGATATATCAAAATATAAGATGGAAGCATCAACAAATCTCTATCTTTATAAATTAATTTGACACTTTGAACTAGATTTGCTGTAATTTGTAATAAAACATTCAACACTCATTTCATAGTTAATCTTTTTATGAAATAAAATTGATATAAAAATAGTATTAAACGAAAAGAAAGTATCGGATGCTTTTGATTAATCATTTACTATAAAATAAAGATAAAAACGAACCACGAACTCCTCCAAGTCAAGCGCAATCGAATTCTTAACCCTGAGTATACTCAAACACGCCCTAAACATTCGATAGAGCAAAATTGCAAGTCTTCGTATATTAAGCAAAAGATCTATTTCGATAAAAATCAGATTGCTAAATGAGGGTAGGAATGGCTTTAAAAACGTCAAGCGTTAAATCACCCGCCCCTTTTCAGGCGAAACAGGTATGCGTCAAATGAGCCTTGAAAAAATAAAAGCCATGCGTCACATCGTATTTTTAGGCTTAGTTAAGCTTCAAATGCATAAGTACTTGTGGACCGGACAATTGTTTTTGCCCTCCCCTTTTTTTTTCCAAAATCCGTTACTGATTTTTGTTTGTTTTTGTTTTCTTTTAATTTCAATTTTTTCGTACTTTCTGTGTTATACTGAAATAAATATTCTAGAAACATCATTTGTTAACTATTTACAAGCAATTGCTTGTTTACTATCCACAGCGGTCACTGATCATATTATATATACAAGTCTAAATTGAAAACAACGTTTAAACCTATGATTGCGAGGGATAAAAACCGCAATTTTTATACGTGTGCATGCAAAACAAATTTCTTGGTAGAGGGATCTAAATACAGCACAAACAACATTTTCCAAAAGACCAAAAAAGTATATTGTAACAAAACGCATTTGACTAGCAGGTCGAACAACGGATGTTTTTAATATATATATATATATATATATCTTGAACGTGAATGTCTGTGAAAATTTAGAGTGCAGTGTAGTGTTTTGTAGACTGTGATCTGTCTGTTCGTATTTTTTTCTTCTGATCACAACCCTGCAGGCACACTTTATTGAATCAACCACTAACCAATTTTGATTCTGTGTTGAATATGGTATTCACTCTGAATTCAATCTGAATTCAAATTAAGTTATTGGTTGAAACAATGTTGAAGGACCGTAATTTAATATTGATTCAAAGTTGAACATCAACGTTGATTCAACGTAGGATTTCAACGTTGATACAAATTTGCAAAATCTAATAATAATTCAACATTAATTCAACATAGAAAGTAAACATTGATTCAATTTTTAATCAATGTTGTGTGCCTGCTGGGAACGTTTTCTGTCTTAATTTTACTTACAGTTTCAAGTTATTGTCCTCTTTTTATCCTTCCGACTTTTTAGCACTCTTTGATTTTTTGTGTTTTGTTTACTTGTTTGTTTTTTCTTCGTCTTTCACCTTTATCCATGACGTTTTCAGTTTCATTTCGAGTGATGAGTTTTAATGCCATATTGATTTCTTCGGTCTCTTTTGTTTTAAGGTAAATTTAACCAGGCGCATTTTTCACCAAAAAGAATGTCTTCTTACGTGAGTGACCGTGTAGCAGTAAATTTGATGATCGATCAATAAAGGCAGATTTTTCTATTCAGACACTAAAGCAATGCTTCTGTCACATTTCTTTTGTCAAAGTGTGTTGAAATCTCAATGATCTTGTCATTCGGAAAATTTAATATTGATGGCAAGTGTTTGAAAGTTTATATAAGATTTGTTCCATTTTTTGGACTCGGGCGATATAGGGATCGTCATCAAGTTTTGAAATATACCTGTCTATTTTTTAAGAGCGTATGTAGTCTTGGTGTCGTGTTGAATTTTTTTAACATGATGTTGCTGTCTCATTGGAGTATATACCGCACATATACCCCCATGCAAAATGAAATATCATTTTTATTTAATTTTACGAGACTTGAAGTGAATTTTTTCAGGAGGGCCCTTTTCTATAAAGTTTGGTTTGTCTAGCGGATAATTACCAACTTTTAAGCTCACAGTTGCATTGTAGCACCAGCGGTAACGGGTTAACATCTTTATATACCAAATTTCAAGATAATATGCGAATAAGTAATAGAGAATCAAACATTCACTGGCAGTTCATTTATAAACTGAAATAATTTTGTGTGATGCTCAAACGAATTGTTATGGTAACAGCAATGTTTGACAATGCCTTTCAAATAGAATTGACATTATTATATCTTAAAAGGACTGATTCGGTCCAGATAAAACAGGTGTGAATTGTGGAATTATAAACATCACATCACGTAAAGCCTTGACCTATTTCAATGCATGCAGTTTCTCATTGGAACATTGCGTCTATTTCAACGGCAGTTTCTCATCGGAACATTACGGATTTTACTATTACATAAGTTCACTGATTATTTGATTTTTGGCGCCATATATTTTCTTATGTACTTTTACAAATAATTAAATGCACTTTTCACGTAAAGCCATAGGCGGATTCAGTGGGGGGGGGGGGGGGGGGGGGGCTTTTGTGTGAAAAATTTGGTTGATTATATAGGGAATCACTGAAGCATGAAAGGAGCGCCCCCCCCCTCTTAGGTCAGTAAGTGCCGCCCCCCCCCCCCTTTACAAAAAGTTCTGGATCCGACACTGAAAGCTTTGTCATATAATCGAGGGAATGTGCTGAAACAGAGCAGAACTGAGTTCGTTTTAACCAAGTCAGTAACCCCAACATAAGTTTTTAACAAATAGGCTAAACAATAAATCCCAAACTGGTATGATTACCAATGAGACAACTATATATCAACCAGATTCTAAATGTATCAATGACGTGGATGTAAGCAACTATAGGTCACCTGCGACCTCCGCGACAGTGAGTAAAACCCATACCTATTGTCCTATAAAGGACCTGACTTGACAAAATGTGAACAAAATTCAAACGAGAAAAACAAACGACCTGCTTTGTAACAAAACAATAAACTAAAAATATACCAACGACGACCACTACATTAAAGACTCATGACTTTAGACAGGTACATAAAGAATTTGGCGTACTAAATATGTTTATGAGCGCCCCTTCTCCCCGCCTCTCCTTACATGGAACAGTGGTGTAACATCACAACATAAGAACAGACTGTAAAATTCACAGGGGCGGATCCAGCCATTTTTAAAAGGGGGAGGAGGTTCCAACCCAGGATAATGGGGGGTTCCAACCAAGTTTCCCCATTCAAAAGCATTGATCGTAAAAAAAGGGGGTTCCCCTCCCCTAGATCCGCCACTGAATTCAGTTGGAAATGGCGTGATTCATCAGATTGGCACGAAGCACAACAAACAATTAACATAAAGACAACAGACAAACAATATAGATCTGAAAGCTAGTTCAAAAACACATAGAACTAATAAATAATTCATGTTCTCCAAGACTAAATAAGTACCCATCAGTACATATCAAACGGATTAAGAGCATGTAAAGACGTACGTAATAAACAGTCTGATAATAATATGCGCATGACCGTGTGCAATGCTGCATTATGTGGAGCATTACCGGGAATTTCGGTGAATATTTGTTGTCTATTTTAATTTTTCACTTAGAATTGAGAAAGGACAAGCATATGCTATAAGAACAGACCAATTCCCTTGTATGATTTCGGTAAATATAAAGGAATAAAACCTATACCATATCTAGGTAAAACAGACCGCATTGAGTGACTGCATGAGCAACACGAACCCTACTAAATTCGAAGTAGATCTCATGCGTTCCTGAAGGGTTAGCAGATCCTACTCCACATGTGGAACCTGTCATGTTTTAAATGATTTTTGTTTGATACCAACACTCAAAATCTTTTGACCACGTAGGTTATTTGAATTGATTCGATTGTTTAATAATGTTAAGCTCATAAATGTCGCCTCTCTGTTTAAACAAATCCGCGGGAATGGCTTAAACGTTAAAGAATTACGAAATAAAAAAATGATACTGATGGAAAGTTAGCCTGTTTTATTATGACAATACATATTATATGAAATATATATGAGTATGATTACAAATTTTAATACAAAAAGTTGGCTGCAGTCATATGATAATAGTGGGGTTAGATCGGGTTTACAGAATAGAGGATAATGTGCAAAAAAAATAACAAAATATGGAATACGGAGTGCTAAAATATAAAGAATGAAGAATACGGAGGGCTTACATACAAATTATAGTGAATAACGGACATATCAAATAAAGAATATAGAAAAGTCTCTTAAAAAAAAAAAAAAAAAAAACAGAAATGAAGACCCCGCCCCTCCAGACCCTAATAATAGGTAAATCAGAGTTTTTTTTCTATCGGGAAACATCAACGCTAAGCATATCTCATGGAAATTACTCATCCTGATATATATTCTGATTTACGCATTATTAAGATATATTTGTAGTTTCTTTCATTTCCTACTTTATTTCTATTATAAAGTACATGGTCAATGTATTCAAAATAATAACTTAAGAATGCAAATTTTGAAAAATAATTAACTCGTAACCGAACAACACGGATAATTAACTCATGTACTATGCACATTCGTGAATTAATGTGTTGTTTGGTCTCTCGTTGAATATATTTCGATATTTGAATTCCTGGATTAATTATTCTTTATATAAACTTTATATAGTTTTTCATAATATTTGACGTTTGGCGTTTGACTTGACCAGCTTTAAGCTGTCAATACGGCAAACTGAAGTACGATGTTTGATGAAGATTTAATGACGTACTGAAACTTTTGACTTTGAAATTAAAAATGGAAACTAAAATAGGATAGAAAACCCTTTTCCCTAATGACCATTGGATAATGTTTGTCGAGAACAAGACTCAAGCTTGCTATGCAGTGCTTTTAGGTGTAATTATCCTACGTATGTTGTAACCACCAAGGTTTGACCTTTGATAGATATCCTTTTTTTATTCAAAATTGAAATCCCTGAAGATTATCATTGGACTTCTAATTTATGATAATTCAATTGTGCAAAACGAAGGCTTTAGGCAAGTTAAATTATATTACCACCTTAACCTTTGATCTCTGACCTTGACATTACTATATTAGGGTTCAAACGTTTCCAGGCTATAGATGGTCTTTGAAAACTAAAATTGAACATGCCTATACTACCTTCAATTCCCTTAGTAAATTTGTTCTGTTGTCCGGCTCTGACTTTTAATTAAACTATTCTTTTGAACAAGCATCGGACGATTTTTTTCGAAGAGTGGGTGCAACACCTGATATGGTTCCAGCATTTTGCGTTAGGGCGTTTAAAATGGGCGAGGGGTTTTAACAATGCCCATGTCCACATCAGATGTAGGGCAGCACCATAGTAGAAGCCAAGGTGCATGGTGCCTTAATCCACCTCTGAAAATTGGTCTCTATAATGCATACAGACATCACTATTTTAGAACAATATAGGATTTAACCATTATCAACTGTCATCCATTGGATATTTGTTGAAGAAAAGACTGGACATAAGGTGTAGAGTATCAGATCTTGTGGTGATCTTGACCATTGGCCTCTATCAAATTAGTTTAAGGCTCTTTTGATTGCAAAGCTTAAGGTGGATCATCGGTATATATTTCCTCAGATAGAATTTTCTTATACTTTGCCAAAATGTAGATTTTTCCATGCTTTTTTTCAAAAGTATAATAAAAAGTATGGGTCACCGTGTTATTTTTCAAGCTATAAGTTGTGCAAAATTGCCCAAATTTGCATAGATTATTCATTTTTTTGTGAATAAAAATAAATCTATGATGTAGAATTTTGAGATAAAATATGAGAAGATATGTTTTATTATATGCTTTAAGAAAATCAAAAGAAAAAATGATGTCACCGACTTTGTTTTCTTCTACAAGTAAAATTTTTGTTAACATTCCTTTATAAAATTTTTACTATTTGTCAATGAGTTATCTCTCCTTAAATGACTAAGTTGAAAAATTGAATACAAGCATTTGGTATTTGTTAAAACAATCTGTATAATGCGATAAATCACTTATTTTTCTTTACTCAAATAAAACCTCTTGCACTTTAATTGCCAATTTGTCTCAAAATTTGCGATTTAAGCAAACAACTAGATCGATTTTGTACTGCTATTTTACAATCCAAGATGACGATTTAAAGATAATCTACCTTAAACAATGTTTGGTAAAAATTGATTGGAAGATTTCACACGTCAGTTTGTCATGTTTGACGTTTGACCTCAAAATAAGTCAGAATGCAAGCACATCTTATACCAAGCAATGGAAAAAGTGGAAAACAAGATGCTTAGTCAACTACAATGGAATTGCGTATACACGAGCGAACTCACACATAAACGCATAGGCTCGAAAGCGATGCTAAACTTCACAACGTTGCTGAGGGGATAAAAAGATCACAAGTTTTCTACCTTTCATGCACGAGACAGTTTCTGACTTTAAAGGTTAAGGATCATATATTTATCATGAATGATTGTCCTATATGAATACATTGCCAAGCATCTGTTGTTCACCCTTTAAAACTAAGTAAAATTCATAGGTCAAAGGTGAAGGTCACATATTCGCTTTAATTTTATTGGGAAAGTACTTTGCCAACAAACATGAACAATCAAATGAAAAAAAAAATACATATAAATCATACAATTAACATATGTATTGTTAGATATACATAAAATTATTCAAATACTGTTATATAATAAGGATTCCCTGCCCTCAATCAGTCTTAATGACTTTTTAAATTAACACTGCGAAACAGTGGTATTCAAATATGGGATCAGTTTTGGGATTTCCTCGTTAGATTGAAATATACATTATTTTTAGACAATCGTAATAAGTAAGGGATTAATGGTTTAAAGTCTGACAGAACAATTCCAGCAAATTAAGTTAGAAAGAACAATAATCAAAGATTTACTTCAATGCAATTCTTTACATTCAAAATGCAACATTTTTAAATAAGTGTCACAATCATCTAAGCCTTTTCATCCTATTCTATAAGAATCAATCAACTTTACGTCAATATACTGGAATCTTTCAGGAAACAATATCCAGACTTCTTCACAGCGGATAAATCTAATCAAGAACAAGACAACCGCGCATGTTTTCTTTTAAATACAGAAAAATCTCCTTTGTAGCACTTGGACAATTGGTTAGTTCTAATTCTTCTAGATGTTTAAGTTGAGTCAGTCCACACAGGCCCTGGCTGGAAATTAATGTGCAACCTAAAATTATGCAAAACAGTATATTCAGTACAAACTTTTGCTAAATTTATTATTTCATCACACAGCAGGTTACTTTTGCCAAAAGTAGCATGAAGCATATTTTTAACAAATTAGATGCATAATAGTAAAAATAGTTGTGTATCTTATTTAAAATACATGTATGTCTGTGACGAAGCAATGACATATTCACCTTACGTAACTCGGAAATCTGGATCGGATTCCCACGGAGGAGTTATGCTCCGTCGGAATCGGATCCAGATTTTACCTACCGTTACAAACTTTTCATTAATTGCTCATCGGGATTCGCATCCCTCCGCGAATTTCTGATCTGGATACCCGGATGTGACACTTTTTATTGTTGGAGAATGTATGCTGATATCTAGATATTGGTTTTACGTCCTTGGGTTGATGAACGTATATCCCACATCCCCTTCCATCGATCCATACTAACATTATCCAATCCTGGAATACACGAAGGTCTGTATTGGGGTCTTTCATTTCTGTTTTCTTTAATTTTTAGGTCATTTTTAGGTTATTTCTGTCTTTTCTTCATAATTTGCCCATTATTGTATATTTTTTTTATATTTCAGCACCTCATCATTCCCTAGTTTTAGTATTTTTTGCCTATTTTTCTCTAATAATAATTGTTCAACCTATTTTTCTGTAGTATTTGCCCATTATTCCTTATCTGTAAACCGTCCTCCAGACCCTCATACACAGACCGCACTTGGAGCTAATTTCTAACATAAAATACAATTTGTACTTTCACTGTTGCTGTCTGAAAGCACGTAGTATTGTTTTGTTTTCAGCTTCAACGATCTCATTAATAAGGACGTGTTTATCCGCCACTTCTCTGTGGAATTATTGACATTTTGGACTATAAGCGGAATAAGTAGTACTGGAATTGAAATCTAAATTAATGTTCCCATCAGCAAGATATAAATAGTTCCACAATGCCCACGTTAGATATTAATACAATGTCTACACTGTTCATTCAATCTAAGAAGTACATTTGTAAGCCTTCGGTTGTGCTTGTTAACACAATAAGGGTTTGACATCATCTAAAAAAAAACTATGAACAACTTTTAAGGATGATTCATTCTGTCAATTGAATTGCTTAGCTTATTTGCTTCTCGGAAAGCCTTTCATCATAATTAACAGTTGGTTATTTTGAACTGAGTTTCCTAAAAACATATCTGAAACTGGCAATTTTAACTCTGATCAGAAACACATCAGTGAAGGGCATCAGTGAAATAAAACTGAAAGAATATGTCCACGAATCCGAAAATAGCAATTTCTCAGTGTACTCTGACTACAAATAAATCGGCGAAATTGAATATACCATGCTTTCCTCAGAATCAGAGTATAGCAAACAGTGGCGGATCCAGAACTTTTTGTAAGGGCGGCATGCCATGACTGACCTAAGGGGGAAAGGGGGGGGGCTCCAGTCATGCTTCAGTGATTCCCTATATAATCAACCAAATTTTTCCCACAAAAGGGGGGGGGGGCGGCCCCCCAGCCCCCCCCCCCCCCCCCGGATCCGCCTATGGCAAAAAAGTTCGAAAATCAGACATAACTACGACAATTATTCGCAAACCGTATGTAGTAGTGAACTGTATAGGTAATTTTGTTATGTGAAACAATTGATTTTTATGTCAAAACTTAAATTGAAAGAACTGCATATAAATTTAGTTTAATAGCTTCCAATTTTCTAAAACAAATTTATAGAAAAGTAATTTATTAACATTACCTGCTAATGAAAGTACCCGTAAATTCTTCATTGTATATATATGCTGAAGACCAAAATCTCGAACTTGTGTGCACCAGCGCAAGTAGAGTTTCTGCAGAGATGTCATGGTTGACAAATAACCGACACCAATATCTGTCACATGGGAACATCTATAAATATAGGAAATATAACATCAACGCTATTTTTAGTTATTTTTATTTTTAAGAAGACGCGAAGGAAGGAAAACAACTTCAGGGCTCCTAGAAATCGATATCGTTCACTTGCCAAACATGTAACGAAATGACTCCACCCTCTAAAGAAACCACGAAAACGGACTACCATAGGATATTTCACCAGCTTTTAGTTCAAAGAGGATGCGACTTAGTATTATCAAGGCATTTTGTAATAAGTACTTGTGGCCAGATAAAAGGGATTTCACATTTTTTAACATCTTCTCAACGTTGGTTCTTTTATAGCTTATTATAAGTTTTTCTCATCGTTGAAGGTCTAACGGTGGCAATTAAGTAATCATTCAAATGTTTCTGGTATTTTTCTCATTTATAGTTTGATAAAGGGTATGGATTTCGCTCATTGTTGAAGGCAAACCGGTGTCCTATAGTTGTTCACTTCTACGTCATTTGGTCTTTGGTGGATAGTTGTATCATTGACAATCATGCTACACATCCTTATTTTTATATTGATATGTTATCTTAAGTGAAGTATAAACTGAATACCAAAAACATTCCAGACAACCTTGATTGAACAAAGCAGTGTCAGAGAGTTGGTACATTGCAGTTGTTTTTCACTTGTTCCATTGATTGACAGCGTTTGATTTTATCAGTTTTTATGGACTTCCCCTTTTTGAATTTGCCTTGAAGATCAGTATTTTTTGTCTTTTTTTTTCCATTTTTCAAAAAAATTTAAATCATATGTGTCGGTGAAATCACTGCAAGTAAAAGAGAGGGGTCAGGTATCAAAGGAACATTCAAACTCATAAATCGAAGACAAAGTGACAAATCCATGGCACTGAGTAACAATAGGAATTGACATATTGGCACAGTGCAATCATTATATCAGGATCCTAGAAATGATATGTTTGTGCTGAGACTACTATAACACAGTGTTATAGTAGTCTCAGGTTTGTGTAGGAGGGGATAAAGGCCAGTCTCTAAAATCGTGGATCTCATGCAAACTTCAGCAAATGTGCAAACACATATATAACAACACATGACGAAGAATGGCAACCTTACATTCCAAACCATAGTTTCGGTTCAGATTTCTTTAACTTTCTTTGATTTCTTAATGATGAATTCTTTAAGCCTGTACTTTTAATTTCTTAAAAGTTAACTGTTTTAATCTAAGAGGTTGGGAAAAAAAGTTTGAGTAGTTTCGACATATTACTATGCGTCTGTATCTCAATTGATATGTTTTGCTTATTAATAAACGAATAAACGAGCAAACGAATGTGTTTTAGAGAAATGTTTTATATATAATGACCTATCTGTAATTATCTCAAGATGAACGGAAGAAATATTTGATTAAGGCTTCCAAAAAGATGGCCATCATTAGACATGAAGTCGCAAGTAATTAATAACACTTAACAAATTGGGGGAAAAATCAACGGAATTTTACTTTCACATGACCTGCAACCTTTATTAGCCAAATCGATATACGTAAATACTGCAATAATTTTTTAATACTTTAATGAGTGAAAATTGATTATATTCTTTCTTCTTGAGATACGGAAATCCGGCGCATGACTGTGTGGGGTTTCCATAGAGTTCATAATTTTATTATTTACAATTGATTTGATTTATAAGCTTTACAATTTTTAGTCATTTTTTTAATTTTAATTTGTTTTCCCTGAAAAAGATATTAATAGATGAGAGAATGTTAAAGGTAGCACTTCATTGAAAGTACATTCTTCAAGTTGTAAGTCAAGTTTTTGTTTTCAGATGGTATTATATTTCAATCTTTGATTTTTTTTGGGGGGGAAGGTGGGGGGGGGGGGCAAAAGAAAAAACTTGCAATGTAGTTATCTGTAGGTCCTTAAAGTTGTCAGTCATGTTTTGGTTTGAAATTTCTGATGATAGTTTATTCCGATCTTTGATTTTTTAGGCGGTGTAGATCGATATATGTTTGTTGGTAAGTTGATCTTCAGTTTGACTGAACTGACTAGAATGTGGCCATGCAGGTTGTAATAAAAATGTGTTGGATTTTTCTTAGTCGAGATTCTGAGGATGTGAGCCATTTTTGCTCCCATCTTAATGCTGCTTCAAATGTCGTCTTGAAGCTTTCATCAATAATATTTTAGAGGCCTGTATATAGACGATGCATTTTGGCTTTCAAATTGGGACGGCATGTCATTCGAATTCCTTGTGTTATTAACTTAACAGATGCCACACAGGCGCATATATATACAGACATGTTAGGGTGTTCTATATGATTCCATCTAGAATTTGTTTACTTAATTGTCCTCGATTTAATGTAATTTAAGAAAAAGGTTACAACTCCGAAACATTTCTCAGACAATACCTCAAGATCCGCATATGATTTACGAACATTTGGCTACATTGTAAATGCCTCAAGACGGCTCAGAACTTCACATTTTGATATTTTTTGCGCTAATTTTATGCTTTAATGAAAAGAAAGGATAAAACAAAACCAGTTTTCTGGTTACATATATTCTTTATGCTCCAAACTTATAAAGCTCAAATTACACCCATAATAGGATCAAAGGCTTAATTAGATACTATATTAACGCAGTGTATTGTCTTTTAGATACATATACATTCATTTTGGTTGAGGATTTTCTTTCGTGCATTTCAGTTTTGAAAAACCATTTGCAAAATTCTTTCAAAACTACATCAGCAGCATTGTTGAGCGTTTAATAACATTGTGATTTCAGGAACGTATGTGAAATTATTGAAAACCCTTTCAATTTATCATTAAGACCCTTTATATCATTCAGAGGGTTTCAACATCTTCCCTATATTGACCTAGTGTGAATATATAGGAACGTATGTGAAATTATTGAAAACCCTTTCAATTTATCATTAAGACCCTTTATATCATTCAGAGGGTTTCAACATCTTCCCTATTTTGACTTAGTGTGAATATATAGGGGAAATCGGCAATACATCTGGCATCGCATGTAGATGAACTTAATATAAAGATAAGAAGACGTGGCAATGACAACTCTCCACCAGAGACCAAGTGACGTTGAATTTAGCAACTATAGGTCACCGTACGACCTTCAACAATGAGCAAGACCATATACCGCATAGTATTAAACTATAAAAGACCCCGAAATAACAAATATAAAACATTTCAAAAGAGAAAACTAACTATCTGATTAACGTATACAGAACAATGAACAAATAACATATAAGGTATACACCGGCAACAAACGACAACCACTGAATTACAGGCTCCCGACATTGGACAGACAGGTTAAGGAAATGAAGATTAATAATACATTTGAGGTTAGAAAAAGCACGTAATATAGATCTCTTACATGGTTATGTAGATGTAATTAGTGGTGTAATCAATATAGAATACGATAGTTTGATCACAAGAGAGGAATTCAATATATATATAAATATTAACTTAACTAAAATATACGAAACAGATTAGTGTCAATTCAAGATTTTCACAGCTGCTAATACCAGGCATTAAAAATAAATAGCACGGCGTGAAGAAACTATAAAGCTGATCAATGTAAAATGGTCTTAAATCCAAGATTCAAAAATCTATAGCAATATCAATAATTAAGAACGTGGGAAGCTATAGCGACCTGATGAGTCACCGCTTTATCGAGCGGTTTTATTCTCTCTTAATTGGTCTTGAGCATCTATATTTGTGATGAACCACTCTAGATTGCCATTCAACTTCCGCATAAAAATTGGTACTTTAAGGTCGATGTATATGAAGTTGTATAACTGAAAATATATGTTTTTTTTTAATTAATTGCTGAAATGCATATTTTCGTTGAGGCTGTAAAGTCTGTTTCATGAATCGGAGCGGATATGTAGATAAAAAACTCTTTAAATGTCGTATTATTTTTTTTTAGTAAAGTTGAGAAAAAACGAAGATAATCGCTTCTCTCTCTTCACAAAATTTCATTTATATTAAGATGTGTATTCATGCCAGTAATTAAGCCAGTCGACCCCAGAAAATGATCAACAGGGATACACACGTAAAACTTACCACCTTTCCATATCAAATGCCTACAAAAGATACCATCACAGATTGTTAAAATGGATACACATGTAAAAGTTACCATATATCCTTATACCAAATGCCTCTAAAAGATGCCACGAAGGATGCTAAATATAGATTCTACCACTGCATCGAGTGTGATACGATATTTATCCACTCGAGATAGTTAAATTTTCAAATTTAAAACGCGAGGCTCGCCGAGCGTTTTAAATATTTAAAATTTAACTGTCGAGAGTGGATAAATATCGTATAAAACGAGATTTGGTGGTGGAATCTGTTTCTCTAATGATTTTCAAACAATACGCAGGCAAATTTATTCCTTCTGTTCGAATGATCTGCAAAATGATGTGTTCTTTCTATGTGACGTCATCAGGCATGGTCGCCTTTTTTCATGCCGTCACAATAGGAAATTCAGAGGAAAGCAAGAAAATTCGACGTCATAATCGGATTTTAACCAATGAAGAACTAAGATCATACGAACCACACGTTGATTAAATTTTTTTTATACAATGGGTGCAGAAAGGGATAAATTGACGAAGAATTAGAGAAAAAGGAATACAAATGTGAAAGTGACCATTTATCCTTATGCCAAATGCCTCTAAAAGATGTCACTAAGGATGCTAAAAGGATATACACATGTAAAATTTACCATCTATCCATACCAAATGCCTATAAAGATGCCATCGAAGATTGCTAAAAAGGAATACACATGTAAAGTAACCATCTATCCTTATACCAAATGCCTTCTAAAGATAAAACAATTAAAGCAAACTAACATCTAAGTCCTAATTCCAGTGAACTATATAAAACGAGAAAATAGAATAAAAAAACACACTCATATCAATAGAAGGAGATATGGGTATATATGTTAGTGTAACAGTTATCAAACAAAACGTTAAAGCATTTGTGAAATCCATATCGTGTTACTGAAAGGACATCCTGATGGCTATAGAAGTGTTAACTCCACGGTTTGGGTTTGATATAAACTTACCTATCGAGGGTTAGTTGTTCGAGTTGACTCAGATCACAGGCAATATATTCAAGCGAGGAATCTGTTATCCGGGGACACCATGATAGGTCTAAGCATCGTAACTTCCGAAGATTTTCAGTAATAAGTTCTATCCCATCATCTGTGACCTTACTACACCCTGATAAACTAAGAACGGTTAGATTTGGAAGAGAATGTACAATATTCACAACCCCATGGTTTGTTACTTCCCAACAAGACTGAAGTCTGAGAACACTGAGAGAATAGCTCTGTTTTGTACTAAAAAAGGCTAAGGCAGCATCAGTCACATGATAAGCCTGAATGTTCAGCTCATAAAGCGCCGGAAGTAGCTGAGCAATAGCCCCAACTGTGTCGTCTGCAACATTTATACAATCTTTAATGGATAAGGACACAATTTTGGGGTTAAGACATGACCACATACCCGTTTCTGTCAGTTCGTTACATCCGTTAAGTTCCAACTTATATAGACATGGAATTTTCTTACACAAAATTTCAAGACCAACATCAGTTATATTAGAATTTCGTAAACATATAAACCTGATTTGCTTTTTGAATATAGCACAGTGGTTAATAAAATCAGCAATTTCTTCGTCTATTGCGCCAAAAAGGCAAATTGAATCAAAATATCTAATTTGCAAACTTTCATAAAACAATCGTTTAAATTCCTCTGTTTTGCCAAGATTACGCAAAATAATGACCGGCATTACATTTTCCCAGTACTTTGGATGGTAAAGTATATTCTTCCACGTGTGACAAACTCTAGACAGCATGCCTCGTTCCTCGGCTGAAAAATAGTAGAAAAACTTCGATAAAAATCTGTCATCCATGAACAATTCATGGATAGTATCAGGTTGGTGCCGTCCAAAAAGACTTCTGATTTTTCGTGCTATAAGTGGCTTTGGGGAACGGACCACACGAGCACTCATCGCAGAACTTCCGTTTGAAACATGTTTATTTATATTAGTTGATGTTTCACGTGTCGTTGAAATTGAAATATGATTTGTAGAGACATGCGTTGTCGTCTGTTGTTGATCCTTGCTGAATCGCAATCCTCGGATTCCATTCGATAATTCCATGTATGCTTTTCGAATCGTTGACATTTTGAATTTAATTTCCGATTGAATATAAATAAGAAATTAACATTTACTGTCATTATTCCATATTCATAGATTCTACCAATACAAATTATCCGATCAATGGTTATTTATAAGTCCATTTAGTAGGAAACAGATATTAAAAAAATCATTATACACGAACGATAATAGATGAAAACTGATAAGGTTCAATTAAAGTCAGAATAAACAATTTTCCAATCATTACGCCACTGTAAGAAGAATTCCTTATTTTTGAACGTGAAGTCTTTGTTCCAGTATGATAATTCATGACTTGGATCGGTTCACTTGAGGCTAGCGTGGGATCAATGTTAAAACTCGATGGATCGATATTCTAATGGATGATGGTTATATTAGCCACGAAGGATGCATTAATATATGAATAAAAGAAGCTGTGGGGGTTAACCCAACAAGGCAGCAATCAACTATAACAACTAAACCAAAATTAGACATTTTCATCAATAAAGCTTTTTTATTAATACACGATTTTATGTCTCCAAATCACGATTCGGAAAGGATAAATTTAATCTTTATTTAACTTATCTTAAAGAATGTTATCAACTGTTTTAAATAATTCATTAGATCGAATAAAAAACTGAATAGTTTATCTTTTTTTAAATTCTGGTTAAGACAACATTCAGATGAGGCCCAAACAATTTTCTCGGCAGCGCCTTCAAATATCAATGTCCTCTGTTTTATGCCAGTCATCTATTTTATTCGGCCGGGATGAAAAGATCTAGGTTAATGTCGCTAGATACCTTACTACGAAGTCCTTTCATTTTCAATCCTATTTTTATTCTTTGTTCCACTCGCTTTAAACTGGGATTATTAGTCACTTTAAACTTGGATTATTAGTCCCAGTCTGATTTAAACTACTAGTGTACTACTTTTTAAACGATTTTCGGTTTTTATTTCTATGCGTATAGAGCAAGAGACATATAATACAATATATGTCTCTGGTATAACCTGAGAATAATACATATTGATATTTTTATATTGGTCCCATGTATTTATATAAGACAATTGCTTCACTTATTATGATCTATAATACTCAAATAGTAATTGCAAAACACTTGACCGTACTTTGCTTAATACTTTAAATAATATTAAATTTCAGTATATTGACTGATTTTTTTATGAAAGTGCTTAACAATATTTTATCGATTCTGTCCCATTATCGGATTGATATCTCAACTACTTGTAAAGGTCGTATATTGTATACAGATATATAGAGTTGTATATATCATATATGTTCCAAATTCGCACTAGACTTGAACACGCAATATTTTTAACTGGTTAAGAACCATACGAAGAACTCAGTCTTGCAACTTTGAAAATTTGTAGGTGTGAATAAGCAAGGACGTTAAAAAGCCTCGAGTGTCATGCACTCTCTTTATATATATATATGCAAGTTAAAGATCTCGTACAACTTTTTGAATAGCCCATAGTGTTTTCCATCCTTCATGCCCTTGTTTTACAGTGGCAATCCAAATTCCCCCACCCGATCCGCTACTTTCAAGCCTACCGTTTAGATATGCGCTTGAAATAGTTGATGAACGTTGCAGGCAACATTCATGTTCCCATCCAACATTATCTTATTTTCCAGTGGCAATCAAAATTTCCTACCGTTTATCCCAATCGATCCCTCATGTCACGTCTCCAGCTTCCTATAGAATTTATTCATGAAATATCTGCAACTGGAAGTTAAGCATATGCTGTTCATTTGCTTGTTGTTACATTGTAGATTTGTAATTTTTGTATAAACCTGCATTTTACAATTGATTTTCTTACAAAAAAAATCAAATTTTCAGTAAACAGTTTGTTCTTATCGTATGTGAGGTGGTCAATTTGGACTAAGTAGTGATACTTTTTCCGAATATATAGATATGAAACAGGATAGCTCTGGATAATATCATCAAATCATAATCTTAAATGTGCATTGAAATTTAACAATCATTTCCCTGAATTGTCCAACAGTACAAAAGCAAAATATACATAAACAATACAAACACTTATACAATCATGGGGTACTCTTTGGGAACCTCCTTGGTATCATATCCCCCATTTTTATATCAATAATATGGTTATATTTTTAATGTTGTAGGTACTCTGAAAAAAAAATTCGTAAGGGTTCCGCGGAACCCAGTGTCTCGCCTACTTTTGCTGTTAATCACAGGCTCAACAAAAATGAGGAAAAAAATAAATAAAAATATTCCTCTCTATACTATCTTTTGATTGTTAGTAGCTTCTGTCCAAGTTTGGTAAAAATCCAGGACAGTTTATGAATCTAATAAATGTTTTAAAAACTTAAACTGCAGACTGTATGTAATGTTAACTGGAAGAAAAACAAAGTCCATTTATAAGTAAAATACGGAAAAAATCAAACAAAATTTTAACAAATTTTCCTTCTAGATACTAGCTTTTAATCATAAACAAGCTTCTGTCCAAGTTTGGTACAAATCCAGGATAGTTTAAGAAAGTTGTTAAAATTTTAAAAACTTTAACCACTGAGTGAATGTAATGTTAACTGGCAGAAAAACTAAGTCCATTTATAAGTAAAATACGGAAAAAATGGATTTTTTTTTTACAAAATTTACTTCTGGATACTATCTTATGATCATAAACAAGCTTCTTTCCATGTTTGGTAGAAATCCAGGATAGTTTAAGAAAGTTATTAAAATTTCAAAAACTTTAACCACAGAGTGAATGTAATGTTTCTTGGCAGAAAAACTAAGTCCATTTATAAGTAAAATACGGAAAAAATGGATTTTTTTTTTTACAAAATTTACTTCTGGATACTATCTTATGATCATAAACAAGCTTCTTTCCAAGTTTGGTAGAAATCCAGGATAGTTTAAGAAAGTTATTAAAATTTCAAAAACTTTAACCACAGAGTGAATGTAATGTTTCTTGGCAGAAAAACTAAGTCCATTTATAAGTAAAATACGGAAAAAATGGAATTTTGTTTTTACAAAATTTACTTTTGAATATTATCTTATGATCATAAACAAGCTTCTGTCAAAGTTTGGTAGAAATCCAGGATAGTTTAAGAAAGTTATTAAAATTTCAAAAACTTTAACCACAGAGTGAATATTTGTGGACGCCGCCGACGACGACGACGAGGACGACGACGCCGACGGAATGTAGGATCGCTATGTCTCGCTTTTTCGACAAAAGTCGAAGGCTCGACAAAAATCACCTGCAACTACTTTTTATGACCATTCAATAAATGTTTGTACATTCTTAAACATGCAGGAGCAACTAGGATATATTCATGAACTTGACTTTATTTCTTTCCTTTAGACAAGACAGACTGATTACTTACGGGGCAGTATTTAATTGGCAATTTTTACTCCTGGACCCTTTTTGACTACTACTTCTGGAGTAATCCTGTATTTACGTTCTAAAGTTTACTAGTTCTATGGAATTCCTGTTCAAAACATACTCAATTACACATCAGATCAGTAATTCAAATGTTTAATATCAAATAATTTAATTGTGGATGTAACACGTCTTCTGATTGGCTGAAAGTTTTTTGTCTATCAGCTCATAGACATAAGTTTGTCATGTGACCATGACATCATCAACGTTTTTCATGATTTACTCCTTTAAAATGGAATTTATGATTAAATTATAAGGAATGACTGTAATGATTTTTCTGTCTTTTCGAAATAACCTCAAACATGTGGTGCATACTTTTAAATAACCTACTGCGGGTTAATCAGTGTGCACCACATTTTTGAAGTTTATTTCTTCATAGACAGAAATTTTTTTAGTCATTCCTTAAAGATTGTATAATGTTTATCAAATTTATATTCAATGAGATTTTTGGCTTTTATTTTTTTATAATTTAATTTTGGATGGAACACATTTTCTGATTGACTGAAAGTTTTTTGTCTATCAGCATGTGATCAGCTCATAAACATAATTTTGTCATGTGACCATGACGTCATCAATGGTTTTTTCATGATTTACTCCTTACAAATGGAATTTAGAATTAAATTATAAGGAATGAGGAATGACTGTTTAATTTTTATGTCTATTCAGGAAAATCTATAATAAACTGCTTCGCTGAGCGCAGCTGGATACGCCCGCAGATGTCCAACCCTGAACAGTTGGGGCAAAAAATAGACACAGTATTCAAGCTTGATACAGGCCTGAATTTGGATTGTAATTAAATATTTGACATATTATAGGTTTCTGAATAAATGTAATCAAAGAACTTGAAATTGGTTATATGAATTGAATTTATCTTCAACTAGATATCATTGAGATGGGAGCCATCTCTGTGGGCCCTGCTGTAAATAATGTGTGGTAAAAAATTTGTATCTTTATCATTGGACATGGGGTTGTCAACTGAAACCAAAGTTTTTGACCTTGACCTTTGACCTAGGAAGTTGTACATAAATTATGACACACCCTCTGGTGTTGGTTTATATACATGTCAAGTATAAACTTTGAAATCATAACGGTTCTCAAGATATAGAGCGGACACGATCTTTACCATAGGACATGGGGTTGTCAACTAAAACCAGAGTTTTTGACCTTGACCTTTGACCTAGGAAGTTGTACATAAATTATGACACTCCCTCTGGTGTTGGTTTATATACATGTCAAGTATAAACTTTGAAATCATAACGGTTCTCAAGATATAGAGCAGACACGATCTTTACCATAGGACATGGGGTTGTCAACTAAAACAATTTTTTGACCTTGACCTTTGACCTAGGAAGTTGTACATACATTATGACACACCCTCTGGTGTTGGTTAATATACATGTCAAGTATAAACTTTGAAATCATAACAGTTCTCTAGATATAGAGCGGACACAATTTGTTACGGACTGACGGACGGACAGACCGACTGATCAGTATAGGGCGTCCGCCATTCGGCGGGGCCCTAATGAAAGATTTCTTCCTGTTGTGCAATACTTAGTAAATCTGTTGTCAGACTATAAACAATTAAGGTTCAATTTCTTCTCAATGTCACATTTGAAATTTATGAAAATCAATAGGGAGATTACATCAATAGCTATAAATAATTCACCAAATTTTCATGAGAACTGCTGAAAGCATTTTTGAGTTATTGTCCAAACACTGGAAAATCCCCCCTTTTTTAATGAAAAGACCCCATAACTCAGAAATGTAAAATCTAAAAATTATAAAATTCTAAAGGGAGCTTACATCAACAGATATAAACAATTCACCAAAGTTTCATGAGAACTGCTGAAAGCACTTTTTTAGTTATTGTCCGAAAACTGGAAAATCCCCCTTTTTTATGAATAAAACCCTTTAACTCAGAAATGTAAAATCTAAAATTTATAAAAATCAAAAGGGAGCTCATGTCAATAGATATAAACGATTCACCAAAATTCCTTGCAAGTTTGTGAAAGCATTCTTGAGTTATTGTTGGAAAACTGGAAAATCCCCCCTTTTTAATGAATAAAATCCCAAAACTCGGAAACGGAAATCTGAAATTTATAAAAAACGAAAGGGAGCTCACGTCAATAGATATAAACAACTCACCAAAGTTTCATGCATATTGGTTAAAGCTTTTTTGAGTTAATGTCTGACATGTTGACGACGGACGGACAGATGTCCAACGGTATACCATAATACGTCCCGTAAACGGGCGTATAATAAGTGGTGCCCACTTTTAAATAACTCTCTATGCAGGTTTTTCAGTGTGCACCACATTTTTGATGTTATTCCTTCATAGACAGAAAAAATATTATAGTCATTCCTTAAATAATGCACTTTTATTTGTGTAACTGTTGTTATAAGAATGTGATTTTGTGTCTTCTTCAAACAGGATGCCGCCATAAATGTTGTTATAAGAATGTGATTTTGTGTCTTCTTCAAACAGGATGCCGCCGTAAATGTTGTTATAAGAATGTGAATTTGTGTCTTCTTCAAACAGAATGCTGTAAATGCTGTTATAAGAATGTGATTTTGTGTCTTCTTCAAACAGAATGCTGTAAATGCTGTTATAAGAATGTGATTTTGTGTCTTCTTCAAACAGAATGCTGTAAATGCTGTTATAAGAATGTCATTTTGTGTCTTCTTCAAACATGATGCCGTAAATGTTGTTATAAGAATGTGTTTAAGTGTCTTCTTCAAAAAGGATGTCTTAGTCTTAATATCACAAGAGGTTATGCAACTGTCATGACTGTTAGCACAAGTCAAGTGTAGGCAGGTTTTTAAATTAAGCAAATGTGAAACGTTTCCATCAATAAAGACCAGAGACAACAGAGTGTAAAGTGTAAACTGTGATTATCCAATACCCATATACTGTATTACATATTTTATTGGCTAGAAATTATATAAATGCTATGGTGAATTCAGTGAGATATGTATGTAGAGAAGATATGCTCTTTACTTTAACAAGATGATGATGATGGATGGCTGCTTAATGTCCAGCGACAATTAAATGCATATTCAGGACGAGAATATATTAATGTAATATGAATATTAACCCTGCTTTGAACTAGACTGACACGCTGAGCCGTATTTTAAAGTGCTAGTTCACAAAGGTAACAGTCTGCAGGAAGACATGTTACCTTTATACATAAGATGCATTATTCTGACTTAAGCCAACCAGTCTTTGCTCTTATCAGAGAAGCAGCAAATACCAATGTTTCTTTGGTTTGACCCGTCTGTGGTTTTAATCCACAACCTCTCGCACTTGAGGCAAACATGCTCCCAAAAACCATGGAGCATTTCTACTTTAATAAGAAGCAAATCAATAGTTGTTATATACTGTAAATTCAGAAATAATTGTGAGGTTTTTATCAATGCAAATAATGCGACTTGGGGAGTATCCAAATAATAAAAACTCACATTCTGTCATGATTCTGATATCTGATACATATATCTGTATGCAGATTTTTGAGAAATCGCAATACATGTAATTCATCTTGCATTTTTGTCCATTCTTAAGAAATCGCAATAATTTCTGAATTTACAGTATGAAACATGCTAATAAACAATACTTCATAACAGCTAAAAATTTAATTAAAATAAGCATTTTAAAACTACCCGGTATGTGTCAAAGGTTATAAAACCAGTGGTATAGTCTCCATAAAGAAAGTCCTCCAGAAGTCACAGCTACAATATTTTGTAGCCATTTTCGTCGAGTGTCATCACGTCTTACTAGTATTACTGGGCTACTGCTAGACAAGTTATGTAATGGAAGTTTTTCTATATTTTTCATGCTTATTTCAATTTGATATTTACAACAGGGATCATTAGATGACAAGGCATATAGTCCTGCTGACAAAATGCTGGTTGTTGCTAATGGCAAATAGATGAATAACTTGTCACTCTTTGTATACATCACAGCTAGGGCTATAACTCCAGAAACAACTGACACTTTGTGGAAGAAATTCCCCACTTTTATCCATCTTACAGTTAGTTCACCAACAAGATGTGGTTCAATAATAATATATTTTGCTTTGGATTCTAATGCTGTTTGAAGTTCTTGCTCTGTCTCTTCTTGTTGGTCCTCACTTCTGTCTTTAATAGTAATGTACTTTGGAGGAGTCTGGCTAAAACATAAAATAAATAACTTTTCTATAAATTATATCTAGATATTTAATTGGAATTACTACACTTAAGGTAATTCTAGCGGTTTCTTAACAAATTTATGGAGTTCAGTTTCTCCTCATGTATTTTTGTTTGTTTGTGTTTAAAGCCACTTTCAGCAAGCTAAATCCTATATCATTACAGCCACTTTTTATTGGTGAAGGAAGTAAGAGTATCCAGAGAAAACCACGACTTTCTGCAGCGAAACTGGCAATCCTTGTCAATAAAGATCAGTCAAACATGCATCTTCTGTCGCCACGAGCTGGAATAGAACCCAAAACCTCAGAGTTGTTAGACTAGTGATCACTGTCAATGAACTACTTAGACAACTCTGCCCCCTGTCCTTTTGTTATTTAAGGTTATTACCATGATTACTAAAGTTCTGTATGTTTCTTTTCAGTCTGAAGCTTGTAAGAGTGTTAGGGAATAATAAATGTACCAGTACTTAACCATTAGGTACAGGGCCCACATCTAAGTAAAGTAAATATGGCTACAAATCTGGATCTATTATACACTGATGATAGAAAATGTTGAACATTTTATGTTTGAATATAAAAAATAAGAATATGTGATATAATGCTTGCAAATGAAACAACTATCCAGTATCTACCAGCCACCAAATACAGATCAGTCAAACACGCATCTTCTGTCGCCACGAGCTGGAATAGAACCCAAAACCTCAGAGGCGGATTTAGGGGGACCGGCCCCCCTTTTGTGGGAAAAATTTGGTTGATTATCTAGGGAATCACTGAAGCATGACTGGAACAGGCCCCCTCTTAGACAGTCAGTGGGCCCCCACTAATGAAAATTTCTGGATCCGCCACTGAAATGATGTAGATGTACAATGTAATCAACAAAAGGTCCTGTACAGCCTTCAACTATGAGCAGAACACAAACCATATAGCAAGCCATAAAAGCTGAAATGACAATATGTAAACCAATTCAAAAGGAATAAAATGCTCCGCTGGGCGCAGCTTGATACGACCGCAGAGGTTGAACCCTGAACAGTTGGGGCAAGTATGGACACAACATTCAAGCTTGATACAGCTCTGAATTTGGATTGTGATTAAATATTTGACACAGCATAGGTTTCTGACACAGAATGAATGTGGTCTTAAGAACTTAATTTTTTTTAATTTACCTACATGTAATATGGTCCAATATCCAAAATCTAAATACATGGTTAGATTCAGCATATCAAAGAATCCAAAGAACTAAATTTTTGATGAAATCAAACAAAGTTTAATTTTGAACCCTTTTGACCTCAATGTGGACCAATTTGATAACGGGGCCCAAAAATCAAAATACATGGTTAGATTCAGCATATCAAAGAACCCCATATATTCAATTTTTGTTGAAATCAAACAAAGTTTAATTTTGGACCCCAACTTGGACCAACTTGAAAACTGGGCCCATAATCAAAAATCTAAACACATGGTTAGATTCAGCATATCAAAGAACCCCATATATTCAATTTTTGTTAAAATCAAACTAAGTTTAATTTTGGACCCTTTGGACCTTAATGTAGACCAATTTAAAAACTGGACCCAAAATGAAAAATCTAAATACTTGGTTAGATTTGGCATATCAAAGAACCCCAATAATTCAATTTTTGATGAAATAAAACAAAAGTTTAATTTTGGACCCTTTTGACCTCAATATGAACCAATTTGATAGCGGGCCCACAAATAAAAAATCAAAATACATGGTTAGATTCAGCATATCAAAGAACCCCATATATTCAATTTTTGTTGAAATCAAACAAAGTTTAATTTTGGACCCCAATTTGGACCAACTTGAAAACTGGGCCCAAAATCAAAAATCCAAATACATGTTTCTATTCAGCATATCAAAGAACCCAGTATATTCAATTTTTGTTAAAATCAAACTAAGTTTAAATTTGGACCCTTTGGACCTTAATGTAGACCAATTTGAAAACTGGACTCAAAATTAAAATTCTAAATACACGGTCAGATTTGGCATAACAAATAAATAAATGTGGTCAAAGATTTTACAAATCTAATGCGCCATACTGTGCAATTAATGATTACTTCTTGAAATTTTTTCAATATTTGAAATTTGAAAAAAAAATAATATTTGAAGAATAATTCTTTTTAATTTCTGAAATCTGAAATGAGAAAAAATTGACCCTCCACAATTTCTTTTTACCCCCCCCCCCCCCTTTTTTTCCCAAAAAAAATTCTTTCCCTCAAGATACGGTCATAATCTCAATTCAAATTTCCAATGGAATTTGCAACCATAATTACCCATTTAAATTTACCATAGTGCTAACTTAATCTATTTTATAATAGAATTTAAAATATGGTGTCAAATCTTTCATGTGGATTTTTTTGTAAAAAAAAAAAAGATGCAACATTTGCAGATATTTTTACTGGTCTTCCTTCATAAATATGCATTTCTTTAAACATAATTTAAAAGCAGTGTAAGGGAAGTAATCAAAATGTTGTATGTGGATTACCTCCCTTACACTGTTTTAAATTGTCTTAATTGTTCATTAACCATTACTTTATACATAATTTAAAAGCAGTGTAAGGGAGGTAATTCAAATGATGTATTTGATTTATCTCCCTTACACTGCTTTAAATTATGTTTTGTACTAAAGTATTTGTCCATATAAAAATGCTTGTTTTTTGCCCCTTTTTTGGCCCCTAATTCCTACAATTTTGAGTCAATTACCCCAAAAATCAATCCCAGCATTCCCTTTGTGATATGGAACCTTGTGGTACAATGTCAGAGAGATCCATACACTAACACACAAGTTATGTCTGGAAGTTACAAAAATGCTTATTTTTGGCCCCTAATTCCTTAACTGTTGGTACCATAACCCCCAAAATCAATCCCAACCTTCATTTTGTGGTATTGAACCGTATGGTAAAATTTCATAGAGATCCATTCACTTAAACTAAGGTTAGAGTGCGAAAACCAATGTGTCTTCGGACGACAACGCTGACGCCAACGTCATACCAATATACGATAGCAAAATTTTTTTGCGGTCGTATAAAAACCATTGACTGATTTATGTACAAAACAACAATCAAAGCATCGTTGATGTTGTGATCCAGCCATATTGATAGCTAGTCTGCATGATATTCTTTCTGACCATTCTTTTTTCAATATTTTTTTCCTCTTTTCATTTCCATAATCTTACTGTAAATGTTTTATGTTATTGTCAAATGATAGGGAATTTTGCAATATTGATGCAAATATTTATATTGATATTTCAATTTTAGACAGTGTCAGATTTTTTTTTTTAAATATTTGCAATTTAATGGTTTTGACAAGAGTGGAAAGGGAAATTGTCAAACAAGTGATATATCTTTTTATATGCCATTAATAATAATTGGCTTAATAATTTCCAGAAAGAGGACTTGGTAATGCACTTTCTCAACAAAAAAAATTTATAATAACTATTTTTTATCTAAATTGTTGTTCATTCTTCATTTAGAAAAAATACATTTCCTGTATTCAAATTTTAATGTACAAATACCTAATGCTGAGATACATGTATTTCCATTTATTGTTAAATAACAATATAATGAATGGAGAACAAACAAATAAATTTTATTGCAGAATATGCTCAGGTAAGAGTTATGCAATTTTAGTTTATTGTTTCAACCAAATTTCTGATAATTGTAACTAATTAATTAGTACTTGATAAATGTGTTCATGTGCAAATAAAAAGAAATTCATTATAAAAAAAGAACTTGGTTATAATGATAATGACACTGATTTTACAAGTGAAATAAAATTTGCTTGCATTTTATTTTACATATTTTTATATTTTTTGTCTTTTCTTTGAAAAAACCCACATTTGATTAATCATTCAGCTAGCTTACACACAAAATTAACAGAATATTTCAATGTAGTGTACATCAAAATAAATAATACATTTGTAGGTTTACTATTGAGGTCAATAATTTGTGTATTCAGTTAGGTGTGTAATATATTGCGTCTATTTAATTATGTAACAGGTCATGAGATATTTTAAAACTGTGGGGAATTAAGACTGGAGTTGATTCCAATTAATACTTACACCTTTGAGTGTAATTGTTTGAAAATCATGAGTTGATAATCATACTGGTATAGTATCAATAAAGGAAGAATTGGAGTAATAGCATTTCAAAAAAAGTGTGGGAATCAACTTAGACATATCAATACACATCTTGAGTGACCCAAATTTTCTTCAATAACTTACACAGACATAAGATACCAATAAAATACTTTCAAAATTCTTATCAATTGATTAAATTGATGTATATTATTTTTTCACATTAATTCATAAATAGTAAATTATTATAAATTTTGATTTAGAAAGGAGCTATATGAAAGTGTATATCTAAAATAAAGTCACTATTCGACCAATATTTTCTTAATTTAAGGGCAAATAACATAACAAAAGTTGCTAGTTGAATAAGTTGATGATTAAAATGGTGTATAAAGTTTCTGCAAGTCATAAAAACACATAATTAGTTTCATGACAGGTCTTCAACTTAGTATTCTGCACCATCTCCAAAAACAGAGTGATCGCATAGATCCAGCATGGCTGAATCAAAAAACAAATATTATAGCCAGTGACCAAGGACAACCACTCTTCCAACAATTAATTGGCAATGTTTGAATATTTGAATTAAAATTCAGGGATTCCCATTGGTCAACATGGTCAATCTTCTTGCTATAAATAAATGTCGGAAAACCTGAAATTTACTAACTTAAGAAACCTAAAATATGCAAGTTAAATTTTTTTTTGTCACAATATCTTAATATATTCATGATATGGGAGAAAAGTTCTTTTCTGGGAATAACCAACAGATTTCGGAAAAACTTTTTTATATCAAATTATTCTTTCAGTCAGCTGGGACTAATACATTCATCTATTAGTCCCAGTTTCAGTGCAAGGTCAAGATTGTCAAATTATTGCGAGAAGAGGATTTGGCTTGCAATTAATTAAGACAGCAAAGAAAGGTGTATTTTTACCATTGTGTTTACTTAAATTAATGTAGAGGTGGGCAAGAATAATGACTTCATAAGTAAAATTAATAAAAACTGAACCAACATCAGCCTATGATCAGGTATGTTTCAGTATTTCTGTGTTTGAGTTACTTTTTTCAAAAGAAATTGTGCTGGGATTTATTTTTTTTTTGCAATTTGATGAGAAGCCCATAGTTAATGATGAGAGTACCTCAAAAAAATTTCAAAAACAGTTAAATGTAAAAATAATTGATGTCCTCCGAACATTTTACTGGTTTTGATTTTGCAAAAATTAGTATTTTAATTCATAATCATTTATACGAACCTCATCCTCTTTCACAGGTAACACCTGTCTCATATTAACAGGTTGGGAACAACCCCTCAAGGTTACAACTATGAGGGGTAAATTTCAGGTGATACAAATATTTTTTTTTTAAACCAATTTTAAGTACAAAAGCCAAAGGGCACACATGGATTAAAAAGGGGGAGACATGCCACAAGCGCCTATTGCCAGTGTTTTTGTCAAGAATCGGTCGTGATTCTTAGTGGAGTTGGGCTGGCAAATATGCTATAACGAAAATAAACTATGCTGAGTGCCAAATAATCGCTTGTCCCAATGAATGAATGATTTAAAATAAAAGTTATTACTTCGAAAATTCCGCCATCAGAGTTGGTACGCCCTCTATCCGGGATGTGCTAAAATCATGAGGTCCAGTAATTCGACCTTAACAAACTCGCCCCACGCAAATAGTTGTAATTTAATAAAAAAAAATCGACAGATATTTTTTATATATATTAATATTTCCAATATTAAATATTCTAAAATTATATCTATTTAAGAATTTAAAAATATATAAATAAGTAAATAAGTTAATAATTTCAGGCACTTTGGGTATGGAAACCTTCTTTTGTGTGTTTAATATTCTTTTGGCAGTGGTAGAATTTAGAAATTGCCAGAAACAAAATCTAATTTGCTACGTTTAAGTCTAATTTTTCCAACTATGATAAATTAACCCCCCCCTTTTTTTCTCAAATCCTTGATCTGCTCCTGTTAACCTAAATTTTCATTTAATATTTCAACTGATTTTCCCTTATTTAATGTGTTTTGGTTTTTTTCTCCTGACAAACAATTTTTTTTTACTTTTATATTATCTTAAGCAAGGATTTCTCACTATACAAATCCTTGTCTTAAGGTGGTACCCAACACCTTGACTAATATTAATTTGGCTCGTTTAATTTTCATAAAATTTTGACAAAATGTTTACTTTGACCCTTTGACAAAAATATAAAAATTTCAAAAAATTTGAACCAACCACTTTATCAGAAAAATTTCATTGGTTATATAGCAGTTTGACAAACACTAATTTTGATCATTGAGAAGCTTAATAATCCCTACAACAATACAACGTGATTAAAACGTTTAGCTGATTTTTACAGAGTTATCTCCCTGTAGTGTTAGGTACCACCTTAATTGCAAAATTACACCCATGAGGGTCATGCAATGACAACAAAAAAAAAAATCAAAGCACTGTAAGCGCTGTAGGCAGTTAACCAAAAACCAAGGCAAACATACTTATGAAAACTGTGGCTATGTTGCTTCATTTTTTTTAAGATTTAAAAGAACAAACATTCAACATTCATATATTGTGCATTTATGTTCATTTAATGAATTTATTATTAAGGCAAATAATTCATATTTTATCAAGGTTTTCAAAAGCAACGCATATATCAAGTATATTTTTAATGGTCATGTGTCTGCAGTGGTACAAGTTCGAAATGATTGCAGTTGTTCTAGTTGATAGTTAACGTTGGTATTAGTTGACTGTTAGTAGTTCAAGTTGACTTAGTACGAGCTTGTAATAGTATGCATGGACTTGCTTCCCTGGAAAGAAAACTGAGTTTGTGTTCTACAGTGCAAAAGTTATGAGACACAAATCAGACAAATGTTTACTACTACGGGGATCAAAGGTGAGGTCTGACTGACCTGCCCATAGTAAATGTAAATGACCCCCGCCTTCACCCCAAGTCCATGATGTCTAAGTTTGGAATAAAATGACAGGTGATTATAATAAAGTTGGTCTTGGGCTTGAAAGATATGTTTTCTTTAAAATGAGCCATATTAAAATGAAATTTTTTATAGAACCAGAAATTATTCAAAATATAATTAAGGTAAATTCTTTAAACCTACTCATTTTTTGCATCAATAAAATTTTATAATAAACAAGAAATAATTGTAACAGAATGCTGTTACGAAGTCTCCCAAACAAAGCTGCCATAATTATTCATTCCCATGGTCGCCTGACATTGGGCAAAGTCTAGTACACATTGATTAGGTCTAGTAAAGTGATATGCATATGTGATGCATATGAGATTGACCTTGTATGTCATTCAAATCTGTTTGAAATGACGAACAGGAATGAATATGGTTTAGGAGTTGGTATCTCAAACTTTTACAAGTTCTTAAAACACACACAAGAGGGGATGGGGTGACCTTAGGGACTAACCCTATATTTCGTTTGATTTTTTATGTTGTCCCATACATGAATATATATATGGTTTAGGGGTGGGGATCTCGACCGTTATCAAGTTTTCAAACAGGATGGGGTGGGGTGACCCCAGTGACTTCCCCTATATTTCATTTGATTTGTTATATTGCCAAATACATGAGTATATATGGTTTAGGGGTGGGGATCTCATCTGTTTCCAAGTTATCAAACAGGAGGGGGTAGGGTGAACCTTAGGACTCTCCCTATATTTCATTTGATAAGTTCTGCTGTCCCATACATGAATATATATGGTTTAATTTAGAGGTCGGGATCTCGACTGTTTCCAAGTTCTCAAACAGGAGGGGTGGGGTGACTGCAGGGACTCCCCTATATTTCATTTGATTTGTTATATAGTCCCATACATGAGTATATATGGTTTCGGGGTGAGGATCTCGACCGTTTCCAAGTTCTCAAACAGGATGGTTTACAGTGACCATAGGAGCTGCCCCTATATTTCATTTGATTTGTTATATTGTCCCATACATGAATATATATGGTTTAGGGTGGGGATCTCGACCGTTTTCAAATTCTCAAACAGGAAGGGGTAGAGTGGCCCCAAGCACTCAACCTATATTTCATATGATTTGTTATATTGTCCCATACATGAATATAAATGGTTAAGGGGTGGATCTCGACCGTTTCCAAGTTCTCAAACAGGAGGGGTGGGGTGACCCCCAAAGACTCCCCCTATATTTCATTTCATTTGTTATATTGTCACATACATGAATATGTATGGTTTATGGGATCATTATTTTTTTGTATGCTCCAATGAACAAATTATGTCTTTAAGAGAAAGATATATACTTACATATTACACACAAAATCCTTCCCAATTGAAACTTACTGGTCTATTATCACACTGTAACGTGCCACTGCTAACAAAAGTGTGCATGTTTCTAAGACATATTGAAAAAATATTTTCATAATACAAAGCATGTTACAATAACTTCATATCCACGTTGCAATTAAGAATTTTGCAAACAAATCAACCAACTATGGTTTATTTCAATTTTATTGTATGATATCACTTATTTATTTATTGTGTGTCTTGCTTGTAAATGTATAAGTATATATGTAATTGTTAATGTATAATTGTTATCCTCTTGTAGCACCATACGTGTGCTTAAGTTTAAATAAATTGTCTTGTCTTATCTTGGGATCTTGACCGTTTCCAAATTCTCAAACAGGAGGGGTGGGGTGACCGCAGGGACTCCCTCTATATTTCATTTGATTTATTATATTGTCCCATACATGAATATATTTGGTTTAGGGGTGGGGATCTCGACCATTTCAAAGTTCCCAAACAGGAGGGTTGGGGTGACCCCAGGGACTCCCCTGTATTTCATCTGATTAGTTATATTGTCCCATACATGAATATATATGGTTTAGGGGTGGGGATCTCGACTGTTTCCAAGTTCTCAAACAGGAGGGGTGGGGTAACCCTAGGGACTTGCCCCTATATTTCATTTGATTAGTTATATAGTCCCATACATGAATATATATGGTTTAGGGGTGGGGATCTCATCCGTTTCAAAGTTATCAAACAGGAGGGGGTAGAGTGACCCAAAGGATTCCACCTATATATCATATGATTTGCTTACATTCAGGTATCATATAATCTAGTTGCACTATTTGCGAAAACAAAGTAAGAAACTTCCAGCTATGTTAACTGACCCTTCAAAATTGAGAAAAAAATTGCAGTAATATGTTTACACTTTAAAAGCATCTTACATGCATTATCAACATTTATCACTGATAAAGAAGATTTATACTGTCACCAGGAACATATATATTGTTAGATATACTGTTCCCAGCTGTCACATTGTATTGGATTTTGACATTAAAATTTGTCAAAAAGTAATTTTGAGTTTCTGTATCAAATATTTTTTGCTTTTTCTTTCTATTACATATATCTTTTGGTTTCCATTTCTAGTGTTTATATTTATTTACCATGCATAGATGTATTTTGTCACCTGCCTGAAATTTTTTTTTGTAGTTGATCTCCAAAACCCGGAATTACCCTTATCCGCTTCCGGAATCGGACCCGATATTGTAATTGTCTACACGGCATCCATTGTTTTTCAATGTTGTTTTTGTCAGTCAGATACGATTTTACTCGAATTTACACATTACTTGTAGGCGATTATCTGTATAAAGCTAGCGGTTGAACAAAATGAACATCGCTGTCATGAATAATAAAGTTGAAAATACGTTTTGAGATCGTTTATTTAGAGACTTTGGTAAAAAGGTTTGCAAAGTTATTTTTAATTTTCTTTCAAGTGAAAGGTCCGTCGGGCGTAGCTAGTAACCAAGTCGAGAGTCCGATTGCAAAAGTGGAAGGTCGCGGACCTCGGACCACCGCTAATTTGAACCCCTGCCTCCAAATTGAAAAGATACGAAAATTTCGTCTTCTAATTTGAAATTGCCGCCAACAGCATGAACAGTGGAACTTATTAATAGACTACTGACGTAGTTGTAACACGTATTGACGACAAACAATATTCCTACGACTTTTGCCATTTGGGAAATCTAAACTACTTGTCTTTAAAGATTTTCGGCGATTAAATATTTCATACAATTGTTCTTTGGCATCTTAGCCAAAAGCACAGGGGATAATAAACTACATAAGGATTCCTAATGTGCTCTACTTCCTATGTGCAACTTCAAAACTTTTGGGTGGTTCGACGATCATTTAAGGTTTTTTCTGGTCATATTTTTGTAATCCAGAATTAAAAGTATGAAAAAACTATTCAATTAGTTATAATTAACATTATATCCAGCTAGATAATAACAATGGCACGTATTTCAGCATTTATTGGGTAGAACACAAATCTAGGGTGCTCGCATAAGGCAGCTTAACTGCCTAACAATATACATTCAAGAATACAACAGAAAACAATTAACTTCGAAACACAATTTTTGATCACACCCCCCCCCCCCCCACCCCTTCCCCCAAATTTTTTTTAAGAAACATGCTGGAACAAAACACATTTCTATAAACTTAATGTTTAATATTTTCTTCTTCTAAATTTAAATGCAAACACAATTTTTTCTTTAATTTCCCTTCTGAAACAAATAATGATTTACATGAAATTTAGAATCATTTAAGAACATAAATATTTTCTCATACTCATCAGCCTCCATGTTTATACATTCAGGTGTTGTGTACAGGTGAATATCTAACTCACTAACACTTTTCAATTTACGTAATTATCATATAATCAGCATTTAAAACCTGTTTTGATTTTGATAATAATCACTCAGGTGTAAACTTTAAACTTCAGCATACTAGGAACATTTGTTATACTCATCAACATATAAGATAAGTTCCTAATATCAGTGGAACAAATATAATACAGTTGGAAGAAGTATTCCATGACCGAATTTCCACAGAACAAATATTATTATAATATTATTTCCCCCAGGAACAAATATTATTAGGAACAAATATACGCTGACACCTTCCCCCCCTCCCCTTTTGAAAGTTTTTCAATAAATACATTTTTTTAGTCTATTCACGAAATTTGAAGCAAGGATTTTAATTGTTTATTATTAAATCCATGATTAAGACTATAGTTTATAATATTCATATAATAAAAAAAGATTTGAGGTATGCAAGTCAATAAAACAGCAATTAATTCTATGAAAAAAACCAAAAGACAAAAATCTCTAAATCATTCCAAAAGTTTTGAAAGGTTTAAAATATACGTAATAGACAAATTATTAACCAACCGACATGCCAATTTCCCCCCCAAAAAAACCAAGAAACATTAAGATATAACAAAAGACTTCCGGACTTTGGACAGGCATATAAACATGGGTCACTGCTGATGTTTTGATGTTGGAGAGTAAATCAAGTTTGCTTGGACAACTGTTTTAAATATGATATAATGTTTATCACACGAATTTTGGATTAGGAAAACTTTGAAGCTGTTAAGTTGTTTACTTCTATGTCATTTGGTCTCTGGTTAAGAGTTGTCTCATAGGCAATCACACCACATCTTTTTATTTTTATATTTGTAATTGTAGATAAACTACTGTTATATTATTGGATAAGTCATTTACAGTGTAACATATAAAGTGTTCATAATATCTTTGATCTTTTTTGACTTGCATGGTTGATCATGGTTTGGTTTGGGTCTGCTTGTTCTCATTTGGATTTGACACTTGAGAAATTTTTGTCAAACTAATAGTCCATAGACGACAGGTTCTTCCAGAAACATGTCATGATCACAAAAATCAGTATCCAACATGACTTTTAGGTATTTCCTTTGGTATCAGGGTTTGAAATATCAATGATTCATGAAAATAAGGTCAAGGTCAGATGAATCCTGACAGAAATATGTACAACATACAATAACTCAATAAACCAAATTAAAGTCAACTTATTGCTTACAGTATCTGAGAAACCATACCTGCCAACTGTCACTATTTGTGGGGGATTTCCCCCATGGAGGCTCCCAATTGCAAATTTTAAAAGAGCAATTTTGTCCACAATTTAAAATAAAACAATCAATTTTACCATGGGTATATGATTGTCTAAGTATGAAGAAGCAAATAAACATCATTAAAATAAATTTGAAGGCCCCTTTAAAGGTTTTGTGGGACAATGAGAGCCATCTTGCACGCTAAACCCCCTTGGGCATTTTGAAATGTTGGCAGGTATGAGAAACTAACATAACCATGAAACCTACCATTAACCAGTGAACCATGAAAATGAGGTCTTAGTAAGACAAACACTACAAGACCAATATATAAACCTTACAATTATTTCATACACCAAATATAGATGACCTATTGCTGAAAGTATAGGAGAAACAGACCTTAATAGGAAAACTTAACATTGACCAATGCACCATGAAAATGAGGTCAAGGTCAAATGAATTCTGCCAGATGGGCATTCACACCTTACAATCATTCCATTCGCCAAATACAGTTAAATTATTGCTTATAGTATCTTCGAAAAGGACATAACATTGACCAATGAACCCTGAAAATGAGGACAAGGTCAGATGAACCATGTCAATTGAAGTTACTTAACAAAAGATTCTGTCATAAAAACACATTTCTGTGAGTATTATTTGGTTGCAACTAGTAAGTTGGTCACAAGGAATGCCAACACAACTTAATTATAAAGTTTTACTACAAATGTCTAACGGCTTGTGATAGTCTGTTTGTTTGAAGTTGTTATGGTTATATAGTCCTTTGTTTTGCAAATAAACAGTAAAATATTTACTGTGACTTGCCCATTCTATATGCAATGTATTGACTACTTTACAAAGACATATGTATGAAGTGGTTATCAATGAAAATCAAATAGTACCAGACAAAAACTTTGAAGAGACTGAATTTTGCTGTAATATATCATTTAAGTTCAGCAACTTCTTAGATGAAGAACAGCAATCAAAGTGCTGTTACACTTTTTTATTGGTTATTTTTAAGCAAAATTATTAAATCAAAAAGATATCAAGTTTTGTGGTATCATTACTTTATGATTTACTTTTATAGTTTATTTTCATATAAGAACTTGTGAGCACTGTTGAAGGCCATACGGTGAACTTCAGATGTTCATTTATGGTTATATTTTGATTAATTGGATTATGGGTTTCAAGAACTAAAACTGATCTCGTAATATTTTTATTACAAATTATAGAAAATATATAAATAAGGAAAGAAAAGGTCTACATGCAATAAGATTTTCGAGAAGATGTTATTAAGTTGTAAAATTGTGTCTGATCAATGTCCTTTTTAACAATAACAGATGTTTGAACTATTGAATACTATAATAAATAATATTTGGTTTTGTTCAAATTAGAACTCTGATGAAAAGAAATTTGTATAAAAGTTGTGGCATTTGAATAACCTAGTCACTAGCCTAGTGATTTAAAAATTTAACAAAAGTCAAATAAGCATGAAAAATTAAAATGGGGAATTTTGGATAACCCTAAAACTTTGAAGGTGATATAAACTTTAAATTAAGTCAATTAAACATGAAGGTACATCAAGTCTCATCTACTAACTTTGAACTTCTTGTATTGAAACTCCTGTTCTATATTGTACAATAAGCATTTTTTTCAAAGTTTTACATGAGATTTGAACTCAAATATGACACTATAAACAAACTCAGTGCAGCAGGAAAATATCTCAGTCTATTTTCTCTTAAATATAACGTACACTTTCTTACAAAATGCAACTTAGAGCTCCTGAAATATGAATTTTAATGACAATGTAATTCAGTTTTGATCTCCTTGTGACATGAGATACACATTTCCTTTTATACACATACAAGTTTGAATTATCTTGTCTTGATGACACCAAAAGCTCCAAAGATAGGACGTTCAGATGGGTTGTGAAGTCAGGCTTGAAAAATAAGAAATGAGAGATTGCAAGTCTGATTCCATATCACTGGTATTTTTCCCAACTGGATTCTTCTGTGTGACTCGCTAACTTTGGAAACAGTTTATCTATTAAACTGAGAATAGCCTGGTCTTGTGTCTTCCCAACCTTTGTCCCAGTTGTCCTACTTTACAGAACCTACTAATTGTATTATTTGTGATATGCATGAAATATTTGACACTGTACATTAAGCAAGCAATATTCAATCAATCATTTGTGTTGACATCGTTTACTTTCACAGAAAAAACAAAATCACATGATTTTTTTTGTTGAAAATAAGACAGTTTGATGCTGACAGAGTGGAAAAATTCTTACAATGAAAGCTTAATGATAATGTGTATTTGGGCTTGTTGTTAGAACAGTGGTTTTCATCACTAGCCATTCATTTATTTTACAGTAAAACCTGTATTGCCTCGTGTGACTAGTGTTGCACATACATACTGAATTACAGTGAAATCAATCATTTTTTTCATAATCTTTTTTTCCAGATTTAGCTCTTGATTTCATCAATTTAAAAAATAAATTAGGTACAATTGTTCTTAAATAAATAGCTATTTTGTGATGTACAGGAGCTAATATGACTTCATTTTGTTCAAATTCAACTGCTGACAGGATCTTCTCAGCAACATATGTTGGCTCCATTCCAGATTGTGTGGTCTTATCCATCACTGAAATATACAGAAATTGTACATATAAACCATGTCTAAAAATACCATTGAAAAAAGAAATACAAGGATATGTGGGGCATCAGTCAATACTGATAGCAACCAACAACATAAAACTGTTAAAGACAGAGAAATTTATTAACTGATAAAAGATCAACATACAATTAAAACATTTTACAACTTTGCATAATATAACAGTTCAATCTGCATAATATAAAAGTTCTAGCAAGAAGAGTTGTGGCTGGACAACTGTCCCTGAAAACATTGTACAAATAAATTATCATCTTGTTATTTTGTGGAACTTTGACAAAAAGCAAAATCCTGATAAAATTCACAACCTTTAAAGTATGTGTCCTTTAAGCCTACATAAAAGTTCTAGCTTGAAAACTTTACAAGTTAGCCTGATAAACCATGTACCCTTTGTGTACAGAGGTCAGGGGTAACAGAATTTTCCTCCTGACTTTTTGTTGGAAAGGGGAGAAGGAACAGACAGATGGACATAAATAACACAATGACAGTAATGTGATCCCTGAAGGTACAAAAATTTAAAAATATGAGGCAACTACATTTAACCATCAGTAGGAAAAAAGGTAAAACATAAAAACTTACGGCCATATTTAGAACCATCTCCACAAACAGCATTCTTAGAAAGGTTAGTTTGAATGTAAGCTGGGCTTACTACACAAACATGTATATTGTCTACTTCTGCTCTCAAAGAATCACTGAAAGACTGAATTGCATGCTTTGAAGCCGTGTCTAAAATTATACAAATATATATTTAGAACCTTATTATCAGTTAGAACTGGAAAGGAAATCTGAATACATTTGTACCATGCAACAGATGATTTTATGTATGATTTCAAATAAGGTACCAACAATTCATTTTTTGTTGTTTTTTAATTAAAAAAAAAAATTTAAACAGCAAAAATACATTTTTGTAATAACAACAAGAGTGCACACGCTGAAATGTCTCGCCTTCTTTACTAATCATTGATATTATGTTGATAGTCCTAAATATAAAGCTTTATTAAAACTGTCACATAAACTTAACATTAACCAAGAAAACTAAACATTGACCAATGAACCATGAAAATTAGGTCAAGGTCAGATGAACCGTGCCAGGCAGACATGTACAGTTAACAATTCTTCCATAAAACAAATATAGTTGACCTATTGCTTATAGTTTAAGAAAAACAGACCAAAACATGAACCGTGAAAATGAGGTCAAGGTCATATAAAACCTGCGTGACTGACATATAGATCATAAAATATTTCCATACACCAAATATAGTTGACCTATGGCATATAGTATTAGAAAAAAGACCAAAACTCAAAAACTTAACTTTGACCACTGAACTATGAAAACGAGGTCAAGGTCAGATGACACCTGCCAGCTAGACATGTACACCTTACAATCATTCCATACACCAAATATAGTAGACCTATTGCATACAGTATAAGAAAAACAGACCAAAACACAAAAACTTAACTATAACCACTGAACCATGAAAATGAGGTCGAGGTCAGATGACACCTGCCAGTTGGACATGTACACCTTACAGTCCTTCCATACACCGAATATACTAGACCTATTGCTTATAGTATCTGAGATATGGACTTGGCCACCAAAACTTAACCTTGTTCACTGATCCATGAAATGAGGTCGAGGTCAAGTGAAAACTGTCTGACGGGCATGAGGACCTTGCAAGGTAAGCACATACCAAATATAGTTATCCTACTACTTATAATAAGAGATAATTTAACATTACAAAAAATGTTAACTTTTTTTTCAAGTAGTCACTGAACCATGAAAATGAGGTCAAGGACATTGGACATGTGACTGACGGAAACTTCGTAACATGAGGCATCCATTTACAAAGTATGAAGCATCCAGGTCTTCCACCTTCTAAAATATAAAGCTTTTAAGAAGTTAGCTAACGCCGCCGCCGCCGGATCACTATCCCTATGTCGAGCATTCTGCGACAAAAGTCGCAGGCTCGACAAAAATCAATTTTGTTTTTATTTGAATTGAAATGCATCCCTTCTGAACCACTTATTTTTTTCCTTCAAGAAATATGAATTAAAGGGGGGGGGGGGGGGGGCAAGAGGAAGTCCATTAACAGTTTAACCATTTTTGATTTTGCTCAAAACAGATAACAGTAAATTTCAAATACTGATAACTGATAACAGCAATTTAAATTATCTTAAATGAGAAAATAGAAAACAGTGATTTCAAAAATAAAAAAAACAGTTAACAGGGGTCATTTTTTTCACAATAACAGTTAACAACAAAGTCAATTTTAAGAAAACAGATAACAACAGTCAGGAGCCTCTGGCCTTTGTTAGTCTTGTATGTTTTTTAATTCTAGTTCATTTATATGTTTTGGAGTTTAGTGTGACGTCTATTTTCACTGAAGTAGTACACAATTTTATTAAGGGGCCAGCTGAGGACCACCTCCGGGTGCAGGATTTTCTTGCTGCGTTGAAGACCCATTGGTGGCCTTCGGCTGTTGTCTGCTCTTTGGTCGGGTTGTTTTCTCTTTGACATATTCCCCATTTCCATTCTCAATTTTATAACATACTAAAACATATATCAAAATTACAAAAAGTCCAAAATTAAAATTAATAATGTATGGACTTAATAATATTAATATGTAACAGCATTTCCTGTGTATTTTAGTCTAGACATCATCTAATTAACCATTGTGATGACCTCCGAAGACAGCCTAGGTCTTATAAACTGATATAAACATAAACTTAAAAATAAAAAGATAGCGAGCATGTGCCATCAGATTTTTCTATCTCTGTTTGATTTCATGTAATAGGCTAAAAAATATGTTAACCATCATTTTTACCTGTAAAAGAATGATTTTTTGTGGATCAAATCAGTCAACGAAATGGTTCACCCTTCTTTCACTTCCAATGTTGACATTCTTATTTTTTAAAAAGCCGAACACACCTAGTACATACATAACCCAACTCCAGCTAATGGGTTAAATTGAAGGCCACATGAATACAAATTCAATTGAGGTTAAATTATTGACATGCAAGTCAATAATACATCAGTGATGTTCTTTAGATTTTATTGACAAATTTGGGCCAAACTGACTGCCTTTAACAGAATATTATTTCATAAATCTGCTTTAATCAATACTTGAAACAGAAAGAATCGTATTTTAATTTTTTGTCTAAATCATATCTAATGCCCCTTTAAGGGCATAAGATACAGTTACAGGGGAGATAATGACGTTGCTAATGTAAAATGTTATTTTTCGCAAAGTCAAATTGTGACATATCGGGAAAAGATGCATTTTTCGACTGATTTTTATCATTCAGAATGATTTAACTTGAAAACCAGTTCATGGACCCCTCTTTTTTTAAAACAGTTTCCAAATGTTTTTACAAAAATCCTCTTGTGTTTATCTTTTGAAACAAAAAGGTAAGTATGACTATCCAAAGGATAGAAATGTCCAAAAAAACAAAATTTTGAGGAAATGTCTAAAATTTCGACCCCATTTTTCTCTTAAAGTAGCACATGAAGGTATATTTTTTATTACATATTTGAATTGCTTAGGTAAAAAATAGCTTATATGCAAATTTTTCGTAAAAAATTCACCATGGGATTGAAACTGTATCGTATACCCCTAAGAATTAACAGTAACATATCCAGTTTTTCTTTTTATTATAAAAAAAAATTTTGTTTTAAGGTTCCTGATAGATGATGGAATTTGACAGGTGCCATCTTAAGAATATAAAATATGCAAATAACATTTTTCATAGAAAATAACAATTACATATCTGGAATATATTTCTAAATCTTTTTATTTCACGATTGCATTTCTTTATAATGCTTGATTTCTGATTGATGTTTACTGGAGTTATCTGTGTTTGCCAAGTGCAAACATCAGTTTTCTGTGTTGTTTTTTGTGAACTTCTGTTGTTTTTCTCATCTTTTCTTCTTTATGTTAGCATTACTTACATGCAGATCTATATGGTATAGCAAACTTGCCCTGTATACTACTGATGTTTACTATAGATCCATTCTGTTTTGATTTCATATAAGGTAACACAGCTGTAATACAGTTAGGAATGTCACAACGATTTCATTCAAGCACCTCAGAAACAAACAAAATGTGGTTTTTGCATTTGAGATGTTTCATATTTTGTCATGCCATTGCCTTTTAAAGCTGACTATATAGTAATGGTCTTGCTCATAATTGAAGCTGTACAATGACCTATAATTGCTTAAATCCATGTTATTTGGACTATACCACATCTCTTTATTTCATATAGAGGCTTCTAGGGGCTTTCTTGGTTAACCTAGTCATAAAAAATATAGAGGCTTCTAGGGGCTTTCTTGATTAACCTAGCCATAAAAAAAATCCACTACATTCTGTAAGTGTCTGTCCCAAGTCAGGAGCCTGCAATTCACTGGTTGTTTTTTTGTTGCTGTAGATCATATATCTTTTGTTTATTGTTTTATACATAAATCAGGATAATTTTCTCGTTTGAATTCCTTTACCTTTGTCATTTCCAGGCCTTTTATAGCTTACTATGCAGTATGGGTTTTGCTAATTGTTGAAGGATGTACAGTGACCTATTATTGTTAACTTCTATGTCAGTTGGTCTCTGGTGGAGAGTTGTCTTATTGGCAATTATACCACATCTTCTTATTTCTATATTTACATTTGTCTGTGTGTGATAATTTAAGTGCCAGCATTTGATATACATTTCTGTCAAGGAAACAACCTAAAAACACAATAAAAAAAGACTTATATTGGTCAAAGTAGGGTTCGTAGGTTATGTTTGATTAACTTACTTACCTTTTATAAGAGCTATTTGGGCAAAGTAATTGACCGTCATTAATTTGATATCTACATCTAGACTTGTGTTTTCTATCTGCCCTCTATAGCTCAGACCAGCATTATTTATTACAATATCAATATGACCATGAATTCTCACAGTGTCAGCAATACACTGAGGTATACTGGATAAATTTTCCAAGTCTAAAACTACTATCTCTGCTGGGTATGAAGATGGTACCTATAAATCACAGTAGTAGAAAATTTAATTTAATCTAATTTTTGTGTTTTTAACGCCACTTTTGGGCTATTTCGTGGCGGCCAGTTTTTATTGGTGGAGGAAGCCGGAGTGCCAGGAGAAAACCACGACCTTCGATAGGAAAACTGACAATCCTAGTCAATTAAGATTGGAGTTGAGTGCACCCGCACGAGCGAGGTTCAAACTCACAACCTCAGTGTTGACTGGCTAGTGATTACAATAGTAACTACTTAAACCACTCGGCCACCAAGGCCCCTAGTAGTAGAAAAGGTTTCAATAAAATTAAAAAATTTCAAAAGAAAACATTATTCTCTTATGCTCCCATCCTATCATTCAAATTACCCAGTTGGTAAATGTATATAAAAATAAGAAGATGTTATATGATATAGCAACAAACAACAACAACTGAATTACAGGCTCCTGACTTGGGACAGGCACATACAGAATGTGGCAGGGTCAAACATGTTGGTGGGCACCAAACCCTCCCCTAACCTAATGTATATTGTTTGGGGCTTTAACCTTAGGGCTATTCCATTAAAATGTATGAGGTAGGGTAGGAAGAGACTTTCAAAATACAACCAAGAACCATTTTTTAGATAATTTTGCATAATGGTAATAGACGCATACTGAAAAAAGACCCATGACCCACATTCTATAATTAAACTTCCCTTCCCTACCCTCCCACATACATTTTAATGGAATAGCCCTTACAGCAATGCATAATTATTTCATTGAACTTACTCAAAAACATAATTGAGATATTGATAATTAACAAAGAACTAATGTATTACATTTATAATTTTGTTCCATATCAAAACTCATTGAACAAAACAAATGTTCTTAAATTTTATAAGAATGTATGGTAAAAATCCAAGGAATCTACATGGCCTCAACTCCTACTTTACACAGGTAAAGATTACATATGCAACTTAATTCTTCAAAATGGATGTGATGTAATGCAAGAAAAAAGAATAAAACTTTTTCAAGATAAATATTTACCTTAGCATTTTCTAATTCCACTTTGAGTGCTTCTAAAGCGTCCCTGTTCCTTCCACACAATAAAACTCTACATTTTGCTTGATGAAAGGCTTTGGCACATGCTTGAAAACATTATAAAGATCAGTCAATTAATTAATCCCTGACAAATATAGATACACATTTTCTTGTCCTCTATTAATTAAGATATCATTCACTGTGATTAAAAAATAAAAAATACAAATGTATAATAAACCAGCCATTTCAGGTTTGTTTCTTGTTTAATAAGACGGTATAATACATATGTTTTTAAATTTTTATTCTTCAGACAAATCTGTGAATTTTTAACCACTCTCTGAGAAATAAACAATATTAAAATTTGATTCTTTCAGTTATATTTAAAATACATACTTCAATTACTTCCATATTCAGGTGATTTTGCCAAGAAAGATGACTTTTGCACAAATGTGTTCACATCAGGGGAGATAATTAAACTGGATATTACTGCAAATTACCCTGAGATTACACTAAAATCCTTCAATTGAAGTTTAGATTTTTCCTTTTATTAATGTCATTGCAAAATACATATATTTTAAGGTTGTTGACATATTTCAGAAATTTTTTGAAAATTAAAAGTGTTAACAGCTTGAGAATTCAGAAAAAAAAATAAAATATGAATATTTGATATAGATGTGACATACCAATGGGGGATAACTCTTGAAAACAATTTTACATAAAAACACCAAACAGCCATGTAAAAACTGATCTCATATTTCACAGTAATATAATTACCTTTACCAAGACCTGAATTTGCTCCTGTAATCAGAACAACTTTTCCCTGGATGTTCTTCTTTTTCTTGTAGGACATAATCATGTACAAAAATACCAGAACACCCAAAGGAAATCCTATGTAACTCCCTATAGTATTCAGTGACATTACAATACAATTAACTGAAACAAGAAAAGGAAAGAAAGGTGTCAAGATTGAAGTAATGTAAAGGGACAATTTCATTGTCCATTTTGTGTAAGTAAATGTTCTTCTTTTGTTGAATATTATATACTCAATTTATTCATGAATGTCATCAAATAATTGAATGCCCAAGAATTGCTTCGAAAATCCAACTTTTGAATATAATAGATCAGATAGTTTTCAGAAGTTTATTTTCTTCATATCATAGCAAACTATATACTATATTATATATATAATGTCCACTGAGTATGAAAGCGATAAGTTGTACCCAAGTTGAATTGTTACACATTTATCATGTCAGGGCCTTTTAATGCTCACTATACAGTATGTGTTTTTCTCATTTGTTGAAGGTTGTACTGTTACCTATTGCTTATGTCCACATCATTTGAACTCTGGTGGAAAGTTGTCTCATTGGCATTCATATAACATCTTTTTATTTATATATTGTAGATATCTTTTGGTTTTTCTATGCTGTTGGGTTCTTTTTATTCATGATTTGTTTATATTAAACATGTTATTTCCATTCTCAATTTTATTAGTAATTTTTTTTTATCATAGTGACATCACTGACATGTTTAACAAAATACAAATATGTTACAGAAAAAAATCATATACACCAGACACTTTGGGTCTATAAGTCACTTTCAAAAATCATCAATCATGTTTCTTTTATCCAGGATACTAACAATAAAAATAATTACTTACACTTCAACTCTATGGATGCATGAAAGTTTATTTGATCTTTTTCGTTATTAGGCCATCACCATTTTAGCATCTTGCTTTTAAATACAATGTACCACAAATCTGTCAAAATTAAAAAAAAAAAATGCAATGTTATTTTAATGTTGCCCTTATTGCAGCAAAGCATCCTTGTTGAACTGTGAGTACAAGGAAATAATTAAAATAAAAGTTTGACAATGTTGTTTGAATATACTATAAAGAAAATAAACATATCGGACGCATAGACGACTTTCTAATTAATGCACTTTCTGACTCCCCACTTTCCCCTAAATTTTTACGTCAAAATGCTCATGTAATTGTATCACAGTAAGAACCGAGTGTTAAATGACCTCACTTATTTTGATTGATTTCAAGACAACCAGTGTAATACTAATTTATTCATAAAAAACATTTTATAAAGTGCTGCTGTTTTCATTTTTTCATGATGTCATCTACCAAATTGATTAGCACTTTATAGAAAAATTACTAAAAGAGTAATGGCTACAAAGTTTACAAAATAAAAATACTGGGTATGTTCTTATTATTTCATTTTTGTGTTGTTAAGTTGCTGTCACATATTTTTATGATTTAGTCTTTAAAAAATTGTAGCAAGCTTGCAACATTATTTTATTCTAAGTAACGGATAAATTCAAGCTATAAAACCCTATGAAAGCATGGTTTATGTAGATCAACAATGCTAATTCACAGAAGGAATGTATTGTTTACATTTTGTACCTTGCACATGGGATGAAACGGAAGCGGAACTTTCAAACGGGGTGCGCAAATGATTACTAAAACAAGGAAGACTGCGCACCAATCTTTGTTGTTTTGTGCAAGGAAACAAATTAAAATGAAATAGGCTTTGGTCGACTATGTCGATTTGTGAACATTTAATTGACTATAAATCAATACATGGAACAAATGCGTATCGATTAATCCATGCATATTTCGTAGCTTGCCCGTCGGCTGAAGCCAGGCGACGAAAGGTGATTGTAAAAAATATCTCCCCACCAACTGATCAATGAGATCATTTATAAATGATTTCCTGTAAACAAAAATTGTCACCCACACCGACACACCTACCACAGCTGAATCGAATGACCAGGCAGAAAATACCATAAACGGTTACAAAAAAATATTGGCTATTCTTCCGAACATGGAGGGTTTGGATGGGGGTCCTTCATTTCTGTTTTTTTTTTTATCTCATTTTTTTCAACGATTCTCAGGGGTAAACAATTTTGTTTGATCTCTCTTAAACCTTGTAATCAGTGACCTAAGAAAATGTTCAAAGAAGAACATAAGATAAAAATCAGTATATGAAGAAGAGGGCTATATAAACTCTAGACAACTTTCGAATTCAGCAATTTCCTATCTCAATGCATATGTTGTTATGTCACATTAAGAACAAATTCGTTCATTGGGATCATTTAAACAGATTGACCTGAGATCAAACAGTGTAACTCATTTATGAAAAACATCTCGAGATTGGTGTATATTTTATTAGAAACAAAAACACAGGTGAAAACAAAACAGAAAAATACAAAATTATAGTATACAAGAAAATGCTCACAGTTACTAAAAGCAATCTCCAAATACTCAACTTGCTGATGTGAAGTGTTGCATTTTTCTAAACATGCTAAAGTGACTGTCCTTTATTCAAATTTCATATAGCAATGTCATCAGCAATACATAAAAACACTGATATACATGTACATGTAATTGATTTTTTGCTTTTTATTTTTATTTGACCAATATATATTTTGAATAATAGAATATCAACATTATGCAATGCTAAGATTTGTTTCTGTTGACACTCAACATATGTAACCCAAAAGTTCTCTGTTCCATCTACAATGTAGTGAATCTTAAAGTATGAATTTTTTTCTTAAAATTTTTAGGCTGCTTCCAATAGATGTCATACATGTCAGAAGTATGCACAAAGGCTTCATGCCTGCTTACACTGTGTTTATTTTGGATGCTATAATGACCATCATATTCATGGACATGCTGAAAGGAAGGGCCACCATCTGGGTTAGTACATTGTACTTTTATCATGTTTATAGTAAAACAAGTCTGATGAAAAACAATATATAAATTTCAACTTTACATTTTTCTTGTTCAAAAAAGGTGCAGTTTAACAAAAATGGACCTGTCGAAACATATAAATCAGAGGTTGGGATATTTGCATGCAACCGTCTTCCTGTAATCTCCAAGTTTTTGAATTTTAATTGTAAAATAAATGTAACTTTGATTCTATTGTTAATCTATAGTGATATTAGTACCATATATCTGTGATCACAAGATAACAACTTTGCTTGTTTTTTCCAGCTATGGATTTAAGTTATGGAACAGTATTCTGTTTTGCCTGTAACGATTATATGTATGATCCAGAATTAGAAACAATTTCTACCTCACAACATCAAAAATCTGCAAAGGCTCAAGGTACAGAAATACTGAATCATTAAAGTTTTCTATAATTATCTAGTTCATAGTCTCATCATGAATAATCTCTTAACTTTCAATTTAATGCTTGCAAAAATCTTTATATTAAAGCTCTGTTACATGGCCCAATTTAATAGGTATTTATTGTTTTCTTTTGGCATCTGTTGTTTAATATTTTATGGTTAGTATTTAAAAATAAAAGAATCTGTTTTTCAAACCAGTGAGTCAGTGTAGACACCCCTAAAAAAAATCTGAAAAAAACTTTTAAAACTTTCAGTAATACATTTTTAAATTACATAATACTGAAGTATGTTCATCTATATTCTTTACAAAAAACTTTTATGTTTGGTTGAGCATCCCTTTGAGTGGTTTCAGGATTGTATAGTTTCCAAGTGTAAATTTTAACACATCCATGTGTTTGCAAAGAGGACAACTGATTCACCAATTCAATCACTATATTTTGTATTAATTTCAGGATTAAAACAACAGTTTATACGGTGGGAACCTACTGAAATCGAGAAGGAAATTCTATTACAGAATCCTAAAAGAAGGAAAGTAGAAACTACATCAACAATAGGTACATTTTTGCAAAATTTACTATACTTTTAATTTTCTTATATAAGAGGTTACTAAATCATACTATTTATAAACATGTGATGATACAGTGGATTTTTAACATGAATTCTTGTTTTGAGTGCAGCCCATAAAATTTCCTTAAAAACAATGAATGGGATTTTACTGTAATAAAAAAACATTCAATCAATCTAATTTTTATACGACCGCAAAAAAATTTTTGTGGTCGTATATTGGTATGACGTTGGCGGCGTCGTCGTCGTCCGAAGACACATTAGTTTTCGCACTCTAACTTTAGTTTAAGTGAATGGATCTCTATGAAATTTTACCATAAGGTTCAATACCACAAAAGGAAGGTGGGGATTGATTTTGGGGGTTATGGTACCAACAGTTAAGGAATTAGGGGCCAAAAATAAGCATTTTTGTAACTTCCAGACATAACTTGTGTGTAAGTGTTTGGATCTCTCTGACATTGTACCACAAGGTTCCATATCACAAAGGGAATGCTGGGATTGATTTTGGGGGTAATTGCCTCCAAATTTTAGGAATTAGGGGCCAAAAGGGGGCAAAAAACAAGCATTTTTCTAGTTTCATGACAATAACTTGTGTGTAAGTGTATGGATCTCTCTGACATTGTATCACAAGGTACAATATCACAAAGGGAATGCTGGGATTGATTTTGGGAGCAACTGCCTCAAAATTTTAGGAATTAGGGGCCAAAAAGAGGCAAAAAACAAGCATTTTTCTAGTTTCAGGACAATAACTTGTGTGTAAGTGTATGGATCTTTATGAAATTGTACTACAAGGTTCCATATCACAAAGTGAAAGCTGGAATTGAGTTTGGGGGTAATTGCCCAAAAAGTTTAGGAATAAGGGGCCAAAAAGGGACTAAAAATAAGCATTTTTCTAGTTTCCAGACAATAACTTGTGTTCAAGTGTATGGATCTCTCTGAAATTTTACTGCAAGGTACCATACCACAAAGGGAAGGCTGGGATTGATTTTGGGGGTAATTCCCTCAAAATGTTAGGAATTTGGGGCCATAAAAGGGCAAAAAAACAAGCATTTTTCTAGTTTCAGGACAATAACTTGTGTGTAAATGTATGGATCTTTATTAAATTGTACTGCAAGGTTCCATATCAGAAAGGGAAAGCTGGGTTTGAGTTTGGGGGTAATTGCCCTAAATGTTTAGGAATTTGGGGCCAAAAAGGGGCCAAAAAACAAGCATTTTTCTAGTTTCCAGACAATAACTTGTGTTCAAGTGTATGGATCTCTCTGAAATTGTACTGCAAGGTACCATACCACAAAGGGAAGGCTGGGATTGATTTTGGGGGTGATGAATCATAAGGGGGTTCAAAAAATTTGGGGGGGGGATTTTTTTTCCCTTTTTTTTTCTTTAAAATTTCCATTTTAAATTGGTTATTTCTGATTTATATATTAAAGCAAATAATAATGATAAGGTTTGAATAGGTAAATTAAATTTTTTTAAGTTCTTAGACCACTTTCATTCTGTGTCAGAAACCTATGCTGTGTCAAATATTTGATTACAATCCAAATTCAGTGCTGTATCAAGCTTGAATGTTGTGTCCATACTTGCCCCAACTGTTCAGGGTTCGACCTCTGCGGTCGTATCAAGCTGCGCCCCAGCGGAGCATTTTATTAGCAATGGTAATTAAAAGTCTAGAATGAAACTCATATGCAAGATTGACACATTTTAAAGCTTTATAACTGCTTAAGATGAAACTTTATCAAGTAGACAAGTAAAAAAAGACTGCCATTCAAAATTGCAAATCACAACTTTATAGAAAATTCTAGATATTGGCTGTTACTTCAAAGCAATTTGTTGGTTATCTATTTCAGGTCTTAGAGGATTGATTAATTTAGGAAACACTTGTTTTATGAACTGCATAGTTCAGGCATTGATTCACACACCAGTTTTGAGAGACTATTTTTTAGCTGATAAACATGTTTGTGAAATGAAAGAGGACGAAGCTCGGCAGTGCCTTGTTTGTGAAATGTCCAGACTTTTTCAAGAAGTAAGTCAAATAAACTACAGCTATGCTTGTAATGATAAATTTTTTACACTTTTTACATAAATAAAATTCTGAAACAAACAAAATAGTCTTTTTACACTAATTAAACATACTTCAATTTGGATTGGATATTAATCAACATGTAACTTTCCAAAATAAAACAATATTCTGACTACTTCAACACATTTTGCATTTTTACAGTGGCAGCATTTGTAATTGCAAATAATGCTCTTTTATTTAGGTAAATGAAATTAATTTGTATAAGTTCATAATAAAATATTGAATCTTCATATCATTTCAGAAAAATATGCAGGTTGCCTGTAACAGTATTGAGAAAAATGAAAAATGTATATCTATATCAATATAGGTCATACCACATCTTCTTATTTTAATATCCTTTGCTGAAATTAAGTAACTGAAATCTCAATTGCATACAACAAACAAGTTTTGTGATCAAAAGAATTTAATTAGGCAATACTGACCATTAATTATTTTGACCTTTTCCTAAAAATGTTTCATAATTCAGGAACACAGCATAGTGACCCTGTCTCAAAGCTGCTTGTAATTGAGGATTTTTTATGAAGGAACAATTTTTGTCAAACAATCATATTTTTTGACAAATTTTAAAGTTTGATTTATCTTTTATTAACATAATTATAATTTTAATAATAAAAAAAATTATGTTTTTTTACTTTCTCAGTTTTACTCTGGAGCCAGGGCTCCACATATTCCATTTCGTCTTTTACACCTGGTGTGGACCAATGCTCGTCACTTGGCCGGATATGAGCAGCAGGATGCTCATGAGTTCCTGATAGCAGCACTTGATGTGTTACACAGGCATTGTAAAGGTTACTCCGCTAATCTATTGCTATCTCACTGTCGACCAAGTATTCAAGGTATGTGTATTTCTTGTCACGTAGTCTTTCACTGATTGCCATGGACTCAATAGAAATATGTTGTGTGGTTGTAAATGTTTAAAATGCCTTCTCTGAGGTTCACTTGTAATAGTCAGTTTGGACCAATGTTGGCTTAATCATGCTTATAGCTTGTATGTCTAACACTGTCACCTGCCAACCAAGATGGATGCCTTTACTACAATAGTTAGTTATGAGCAATGATTTTCATGATAATAAAAGTAGTCGTTACAACTAAGGGAAATAGAGATAAAATGTCCATGAAATGATCGATACAATAAATCACAATTCTTTAAGATGCTCAGTAAATGTGGCAACAGTAAACTAAATATTGTTTATTCATTTTGTGCTTTTGACTTTCATTTTTGCCCTGTATTTGAATAATTAAAAAAAATGATTTATTTGTTCTAGGTACAAATGGGACCAACAACCCAGGAACTCCTTTACACTGTAACTGTATTATAGATCAGATTTTTACTGGTGGACTTCAATCAGATGTTACATGTCAGCAGTGCAAGTAAGTAAAGGACAGGTGACCTACTTTTTTAACACCCCCACACCCTTCCCATTAAAAGAAAAATCCTCATCAAATTTTGCAATTATTTGGTATAATTATGGTTGCTGTTGTTAGCATTATATTGTGTTGGTAGTTAAAAGCATTACAACCAGCTTACTTAGGCAGGTGTTATACAGGCTTTCTGGTTGCCCTAACCAATGTAACTTACTGTTATGAAATTGTGTGAATAAAAGGAAGAGTTGGGTATATGCCAATGAGACAGCAACCCACTGATTGAAATAAAAGAGAATGATATTTTATGAATTATATGAAAGTAGTGGTCGACACAATCAAATGAAGCAAAGTTTTACTTGAATGATGTTTTATTTATGAAAGGTTACATGTCACTTCTTACAAGTGTTTAATATTTTTTTTAAATGTTGCAATATTAAAAAGAGGAGTAGAAAATGGTATTTTCATCAACTCTGTACTGATGGAATTAAGAAATACTAGGAAATAGTGACACATCCAGTTTGAAATAGAAATTCTTCCTTAAAATGTCATCCATAACTTACAATAATATCTAATCAATGTAATTAGTATTCTTAAGTGTTGACTTATCTATTTCTTTATTTCAGAAATGTATCAACAACAATAGATCCTATATGGGATATATCTCTAGATCTAGGTCCAGGACCTCCACAATCCAATGGCACAACTAATTCCTCTCCTAGCTCAGGTAATTTATTTTTAGTGTAAAAAGTGTGAACCAGGGCTTCCAAAACGGTCATATTTTCTGGACATGACCGTTAAATTATAAATATGACTTGTTGTGCCAAACCTGAAACGAACATTTAATGTGGGTTTGCCATTTTAACATAAATCAGAAAAAATTGAAGTTTTTGCGATCTTTTTTTCCTGACCTTTAGTCTTAAACAGCCACATTTCCAGTCATAAAAGTGACATGGTGAATAAGTGCTATCAAAACAAACCCTACTTTAATACCCTCTCATTACAATCAAGATTAATTAGTTGTCAGACAATTGAAATTTACCTATTCAGGTGACAGGTAAACTAATATGTACCGGACATTGATCGGTCTATTTGAAGTTATTTTCATAAATTTCAGCAGTTTGCATCTAATTAATTTAATCAAAAAGATTTAAATTATCAAATATATGCATATAAATATGATTTGATGAAAAATCTTAAAAGGTAGTTATAAAAGTTTTAAGCGAAAAAATCGCCAGGACCACGTTGATTGAATAAAGTACACGCCTGCGCATGTGTGCACTTGTGAGATTTAATTATGCATCCGAATTCTTCATAAATGCTAAAATTATCATTGATACCTTTATCTAACGTTCATTTCAAGTATTTTCAGATTTTTCTTGAAGAAATAACGTTGGAAAGAGTTACTTAAACTCGATTGTGCTTTGTAAACTTACACGGATTTTTCGTATCCGTCTCTGTTCCGTGTTTTTACCATTGTCAAGTCAACATCCGGTATAAGAAAATGTACCTTCAAAAACAAAAGTAAAGATTTTGACAACGTAATTTTGCACAAATAAAGATTCTAAGGCAGATATTAGTACTGAAGGTACTGACATGAAAATGTGAAACAATTTGAACAAGAAAACTAACGGCCTAATTTATATTAACAATACTATTTACAAAAAACAAATACAACAGACCTGAGCCAACAACAACCACTGAAGTTTTTGGTCAAGGTCAAATGATACATTACAGACTGAAGAAATGACTTTGAAGGGCACTGAAAATTCATTTCATTTCGTTAGGAGAACATGACATTAAGACAACTTCAGTTGATATTTTCTTAGTTTTGAATGCAAGAGATTTAGGATTCAAATTATGTTTTGGTGAAAATTTAAGATAGATGGATCTGTTCATTAAATGTCAAACTGGTATTATGGCAATTGTATATGATATTTTATGTTGATGCATTTAAATGACAAGTGAAGTTAAATCTTTTAACAGGTTATTCTAATAGTCCAGGAACATACGAACCTACCTCACTACTTGACTGCTTAAAAAGGTATGTTTGTGTAATAGGGCACAAAAAAAAAGGATTGACAAAAATTAGAAGTAATTGTTATCATTTTTGCAGAATTTGTCAAAAGCAAGAATATTTAAAAAAAACAAAACATGAAAAACCGTCTACGGTCGACTTTGCCTGAGAAAGTTGCTACCTTATAGTTTACAATTACATAATTTTATAAGCTTGAAATTACAATGAGACAGTTTATAGCAGTCTAAGAAATTTACCTTTAAATGCAAGAAATTCAAAAGCCTAAAGTAAATATTTAAGACAAAGTTTAAATATTATAATTTTATAATGGACAGACAAATTTCTTGTTAACACATGTTATTTTATAAACTTACAACACTTTCTGATATCTACCAAGGGGCCAAAAATGTTTTAATTACAACTTCCAGATCTGTTTACTTTTCCATAGTATTATTTTGTATTGTCTAAGTCAACCTTTTTGTCCACTGCATCAACATGGAGCTTGGCACATAGAAATGTTGGGTGTCTGTCCTGGTGTCAACCAGTCTGTCCAGTTTTGTAAGCACTCTCACTCCCACATTTCTTTTTGGATTTTTATGTATTGCCCTTCATAATGTAATGTAATATATTTATTCTTTTAAACCGATTAATATAATATAATTTTGTAATGAACTATAATTGTATAAACATATTTTTTTAGATTTACCAAACCTGAACATTTAGGAAGTTCAGCCAAAATAAAGTGTAGTACATGTCACAGTTACCAGGAATCAACAAAGCAACTGACAATGAAAAAACAACCTGTTGTGGCATGTTTTCATCTGAAGGTAAAACTAACTTTATCTTCAGCATTGATATAAAAATAAGGTCCTATTTATACTTTGAAAAGGATCATTCAATGATTTTAAAACTCTCTATAAAAGATTTAATAATCATTTCAATGCTGTTTCTAAAGTGAGGCTTTCTTCTTTTTATATGCCCATTTACGGGACGTATTATGGTATACCGTTGACCGTCTGTCAATCTGTCTGTCCGTCCGCCTGTCCGTAAGCTCCCTTTAGAATTTTATAAATTTTAGATTTAACATTTCTGAGTTATGGGGTTTTATTTATTAAAAAAGGGGGGATTTTCCAGTTTTTGGACAATAACTCAAAAATGCTTTCAGCAGTTCTCATGAAACTTTGGTGAATTATTTATAGCTATTGATGTAATCTCCTTATTGATTTTCATAAATTTCAAATATGACATTGAGAAGAAATTGAACTTTATTTGTTTATAGTCTGACAACAGATTTACTAAGTATTGTGCAACAGCACAGTGTATTCCACAACAGCAAGAAATCTTTATTTGAATATAAATTCAATTCATATAACCAATTTCAAGTTTTTTGACTACATTTATTCAGAAACCTATAATATGTCAAATATTTAATTACAATCCAAATTCAGACCTGTATCAAGCTTGAATATCGTGTCCATTTTTGCCCCAACTGTTCAGGGTTGGACCTCTGGGGGCGTATCCTGCTGCGCTCAGCGAAGCAGTTTATTGTAAATATTTTAAAATTGGGCATTTAATTGTATACCCTCACTCCCCAGAGTGAAGGTTATATTGCTATTACTTTTTTGTGCAACAGATAATTTATTCACATTTTCTCAAGAAACCTCTGACTTAATATTTGATCAGCAGCTTGACAGTGATGAGCTGAAAGGTGTTAGCTCTTATTGAATGTCAGACACCTACTTCCTTTTTTACCATACTTTGAATTACGAGTAAGGGCATGCTTAGCACAATAACATGTAACTGCATGTGTTGATATGTAGTTACTGTTGTGTGCAAGATTGTTGTTTTTAAAGATATCAATAACTCTAATGTTGGCTGGAATTTATTCAAGTGTTCATTTTTCTTCAAATATAAAAATGTCTTTATTCATAAAACTGAGATAGGATTAAATGTGAGAGAAAGTGTTATAAAAGATAGGAGACTGATCTTTGTATTTGAAACTGTTTGTTGATAATAAAGCCTTCATAAAGGTTTATATGTTGAAAATAATGTTTGATTGCTAAAACCAAGTGAAATTTTATAGCATTATTGGGTCAATTTAACAAATATAATGTATTTTTATAAGATGACACTTGCACACCTATCAGACTATTGAAAAACGTTGGTTACACACAACAATTTATGTATGACAGATTTCATTTCTTTTAATTACAGAGGTTTGAACATTCAACAGGGTATCATAAAAAGATATCTACGTTTGTATCATTCCCAGACGAACTTGACATGACTCCATTTATGTCTTCATCTCGTGACAATAAAAATGGTTACATTAATCAAATCGTCCAAGAATCTGCCAAAAGTCTTTCATGTGATAACAAGTGAGTACGACATCTCCATATTTCTTAATAAGTAGTAATTTCTTAATAAGTAGTAATACAGGTGTTGAAACATGTGATTCAGATGCTTTCATGCATGCATTTCACCAGACAAGAATGCCAGTTTGCCAAGAAATTGGAAAAAAATATATTGTAGAAACAGATTTTACCATTATGTCACATGTTATCTTATATATCCACTTACAATAGTTAATTAATATATGAGATCAAGTTTCTAGAGGAAAGATAAGTAAAAAGTGTATTTGTTCCATTCTCAATTTTATTGTACCCAAAACTTTTTTATAAATCTACTGAACTGAAATAAAAGTTAGAAATATTGATACAATTTCAATGCTGCCAGTTGTGTGAAGGCAAGGCACTTATGTGTGTCCATACCTATTGTAAAATAGCTAAAGTTTTTAATTCTTTTTATTGGTTTGTAGGTATTCCTTATTTGCTGTGGTAAATCATATGGGCACTATAGAATGTGGTCATTATACATGTTATATACGACAACACAAGGACCAGTGGTTTAAGTGTGATGACCATATGATTAGTCGTGCTTCACCACAAGAGGTGCTTAATAGTGAAGGGTAAGATAAGGACTATATTTTTTATACAACCGCAAAAAATTTTTGGGATCGTATAATGGTATGATGTCGTCGTCGAAGACACATTGGTTTCCGGACAATAACTTTTGTTTAAGTGAATGGATCTCTATGAAATTTTTTAGGAAGGTTCAATACCACAACAGGAAGGTTGGGATTGATTTTGGGGATGATGTTCCCAATCGTTTAGGAATTAGGGGCCCAAAAAGGGGCCAAAACAAGCATTTTTCTAGTTTCAGGATTATGACTTGTGTTTTAAGTATTTCTTTTGCTCTGAAATTGTACCACAATGTTTAATACCACAAGTAGAAGGTTGTGATTCATTTTAGGGGTTATGGGGCCAATAGTTTAGGAATTAAGGGCCAAAAAGGGGCCAAAAACAAGCATTTTTCTAGTTTCCAGACAATAACGTGTGTGTAAGTGTATGGATCTCTCTGACATGTACCACAAGGTTCCATATAACAAAGGGAAGGCTTGGATTGAGTTTGGGGGTAATTGCCCCAAACATGTAGGAATTAGGGGCCAAAAAAGGGCCAAAAACAAGCATTTTTCTAGTTTCCAGACAATAACTTGTGTGTAAGTGTATGGATCTCTCTGAAGTTGTACTACAAGGTTCCATACTACAAAGGAAAGGCTGGGATTGAGTTGTGGGGTTATTGCTCCAAAGGGGGGGGGGGGATTTTTTTCCCAATTTTTTTAAGGGATTCATATTTTTTTTTCAAAGTTTTCAAAATTTTGAATTTTTGAAAAGTTTGAAGAAGAAATCTTCAATTGCACAGTATTGGGCAATGGATTTATAAGATCTTTGACCATATTTATTTTGTGTCAGAAACCTATATTATGTCAAAAGTTTGATCACAATCCAAATTCAGACAGTATCAAGCTTGAATATTGTGCCCAAATTTGCCCCAACTGTTCAGGGTTCGACCTCTGTGGTTGTATCAGGCTGCGCTCAGTGAAGCATTTTATTTTCATTTCAAAAACTTTAAAAAAAAAATTTTATTCCCCCAATCGGTGTATGATCTTGTTTGTCTGTAACTTTCAGTACATATCTCTCAATTTCTGTTGTACCGTTTAAAAGATTTTCAGATCCACTGGGCAGTCACTTCCTATTAGATAATACTTTGAATTTTATACACTCACTTTTTAAGGTCTTGTAACAAGTGGGGTATACTTTGAAAGACATCATGTGCACCTTCTTGTATTATTTGGGAAAAATAACTGGATTTGTGTGGCATTTTTTACAATTTCTCATTGCATTTCCTACATTCACACTAATTGATCTCTATTTATATGTAATCTATTCCAACAATAAATACACACATTACTTATTGGTATGAAAGAATGCTCCAGCATCCATGTATGAAAATTTATACCAGACGGGACAAAAATCTCACTGTAAAGTGCTACAAAAATGTAAAATAACAAAAATACCAAACTCCAAGGGATATTCAAAACGGAAAGTCCTTTATCAAATGGCAAAATCAGAAGCTCCAACTATCAAACGAATGGAAAACTACTTACATGCAAAATGAAAATGTTCTAAATAAAGTGAAAATCTGGGGAAAAAAACATCATTTGCATATTAAGTACAAAAAATGTGTGTTCATTGTTTGAAGTGCTGGTTAGATTGAGATATTATTAACAGACTACTTGAACATTTTAATGAAATTTTACGTAAAAGGGGAAATGACTGATTTCATATATACTTATTTCTTAATGAGTACATAATTTACATTGTAGGTATTTATTATTTTACCATAAGCAGATACTAGAGTACCATTGACGTCAGAGAAGATTAGTACTGGTTGCATAATACTGTCTCATTATACTGCCGTGTTGTAAAAGTGCTGGACAATTTGTCTTTCATAGTCATTTATACTTGATTTATATAGAAGTGTCAGTAGTTCTCAGAATCAGGCTTTTTGAAAAACAATAGAAATTCACTTGCTTTTGATGTCTGATAAAACGGGTTAAAAATCTGCAGTCTTTTCTTTTCATCTTAGTCAAAAGCTAAATATTGTAATAAAGAGGTACAGCTGTAATTAGTGAAATGCATTTCACTGAAACAAATCAAGTTTAATTGTAAACTTATTATATTTGGGTTATGGTTCTCATGTGACTTTCTTAAAGGTAGATATACTTCCTTATTAGAATGAATGACTCTGGAAAGGTGCTTTCCAAGATATACCTTTTTGAATTACCTAAACAGCTTTTGGTGGATTTCAAGACTTTTTTTTAATTTTAAGACATGTGTTATAAACTCAGTATTTTAATTTGTAATTTTTACTATTGTAAGTCATTATGAAAATACTACCGTAAATTTTTGTTATAACTGATTCTAAGAAAGACTGGTACGTAATTAGCATGATATTATTTGTGAATGTAGTTTCTATAGAAATTGTTTAGTTTCTGCAGTTAAATGGCTTATCAATCCATCATACATCACACTTTGCTTATTCTCATCATAGGATACTTAAATTTGTGGATTTTATGGAAAGCTTTCTGATCCGTCCTTAGAAACCAGGGTTGATTCCATCATCTTCAAAACTCCACTGTATCATTGTCAATTGGAAAATTATTCCTTGTATTGATGAAATAAGGAATTTAATTGAAATTCAATCACACTTTTGTCATGCAACCTTTTAGGAATAAAAATTGTATTCTGCGACAATGGAAAATCTTTGTTAAAATTTAACTATTGGTAAAGGTTGTCAGAAGGACAAGTTGAGATAAATTTTGTCATTATTTGTAATTATGCATGTAGGCAAAATGGCAGGATCCTTAATAACGTCCTTTTAATAATTTTGAATAAAACATGCATTGTTTATAACTTTTATACAAGAATAATAAATCAAATAGAAAAACAAAGAATATGGGGTATCCATCCGTGACACAAAAACAGTATATGCACAGCAATAAAAAAAGCACACAAAAAGCAAAGTCAATCAGTTGATTTCAATGTTCTTATATTATCATGACAATTTATATTATATTATCAAACGATATAAAATTCAACCAAGAAACATTCTTTCTTTATGCCCCGCCTATGATAGTGTGTCTTTCCTGTAGTGGGTTAAAGTTTGAGTTAAAGATAGTTTACCACATAGGTGTGCCAAAGTTTTAACCCTAGGTTTCTGAGGATGATGCAAACCTTTTCATTAAATAAAGATTCTCCTGATCTTTGATTATACTAAACAATTGATATAATGAAAATTAATTAATTGTGCTATTCTAATTCTAATACTTAGGAAAAAGATTTGTAAAATAATAATTTTACGACATGTACTAATAGTTTGGAGAATAAGTTAAAGGAATAACCCTAACAAGATAAAAAAAATAAAATACTTACTTGAGCTAACAGCTATAAACATCTAGAATTTAACAATGAAAGGGCATAAATTGAGCATTCATTTCTTCTCTCATTTAATCATTCTTTTGAATGGCTGATGTTTTTTGAAAGAAAAACTGAATTTCTGATTCTTCAAATTATACAGTGAAACCTGTCCAAACCAAAAGCCTGTATGAACTTTAAAAAAAAAATGTTAAAATACTGTAACACATGAACTCTTTATTTGCTTGACTTTTTGGAGTAGAAAAATAATGTGACTATAAATGGTCGTCAATTTATCAAACATGGATCTTATTTTATGATATTATGTTTATATCAACAAAATTAGAAAATGTTGAGAACTAATTGCCTTAAAATTGGCTAGAAAGGCTAAATGCAAAAAAAAAAAATCCCTGAAAATAAGTTGGGTTACACTTGCTCTTTCCCACTGGGAAAACTTTTGACATCTTTCAACTTGACCTTAGCTGAATGAGCTAACTCATACATAAACAAATTGGGGGCCTTGGTGGCAGAGTGGTCTAAGTAGTTCATCTACAGTTATCTCTAGCTTGTCACCACTGACCGAGGCAAGGTGTGTTTGACTCGGATCTTTATTTACCAGGATTAACAGATTTCCTGCTGGAGGTTGATGGTACCTAGGCTTCCTCCACCAATAAAAACAGGCCGCTATTGAATAGCCAAGAGTGCTGAAAGTGGTATTTAACACCGAAAGTCAATTAATCATAATCAAAAAATTACAAAGTAATTCTAACTTTTTCATTTGCATTGGAATTTGAAGAAAATTGGCAATTTTCTTTCCCTGAAATTTTCCTTTGGTTTACACAGGTTTTCCCTGTATAAATTGTTTGAAAAACATTTTTCCAGTGAATCATTGGGTGTATTAGTGTAATATTTATTGTATTTTGTATTTTATAAAGAAAAGTATATTTGTGATAATATTTTCCATTTGTGTATTGATTTTTTTATTCTGAAGTTTGCTCAGATATATGTAAACTAACTAGACTGCTTGATAATCATTCCAGAATGTTTTATACAAGACATGCATGCTAGGAATGATTTTTGTGGGTATTTATTTAAATTTATTTGTCTTGTAAATGTAGTCTGGCATTGACAGATAAAGTAAAGTCATTTTGTGTAAACTAGGTATAGCTTTAAGCTCACTTATCAACTGTTGAATAATTTTGTGGTCACTTGAAACTATCCTTCTGGCATAAACATAAATTTTTTTTAGGGGATAGCAGATGAAAAGATTACAATCAAACATTGGTGGCCTTGGGCTGTTTTCTGCTCTTTGGTCGAGTTTTTGTCTCTTTGACACATTCCCTGTTTCCATTCTCAATTTTATGAATATTTTCCTAGCAAGGTCCTGTATTTACCAAAATTTGTCATTTTCAGTAGAATATAGCATAAAAAGTTTGCCAAAGATGTAAATATATGAGAAAATTTGACATAATTTTTAACTAGGTATTTATCAGAAAGGAGAATACAACTGGTTCTTCCACAGATTGAAAATTGTAATGATCAAATTTTTTCCCCCTTTACTCCTTAGAATCTGGCCAGTTTATTTCATTAGAATATTACTTGTGCCAAAAATTTAAGATGAATGAATGATTGAATGTAAGTGACCACTTGTGAAGTTAATTTTACTCTGATAGTATTTTTTGTCTATTTATTTACCAATTAAGGCTTTGGCTTAAATTTACCAGAGTTTTACTTGAGTAGGTTTGGTTTCAACACCTGGAATTTAAAAAAAAAATATTAATTAAAATTAATCTTAATTGGTACACAGAAATTTGTGAAACACATGTATGGTATATGCTGCAAAAGTTTACACAGCAGAAAAAAGAAATCTTTGTTTATGTGTTTTGTGTATGTTATTTTTAGTAAGTATGTATTGTATGACAGTTTGATATGTAGAAATCAAGATATTTTATATTTCTGATATTTATCTGAAACTTATAAATAGATTGAACAAAATATTACAATCATATTAGAATGTATATCATATAAAAGATGATTAGTAACAAATGAACTGATATGGTGGAGAGTTGTCTCATTGGCAATCGTACAACATCTTATTTTTATATAGGCAATCTTTAAGCGTGAAATGTTCTGTGTATGCTGCCATTGCCATATCTAAGAAACGTTTTATTGGCTCTCCCGTCTATATACCTAAAATTCAAAGTACTATAATCAAATGGCCTAAATTTATCTTGCTATTAGTTAACAAGTACTCTGGAATTTTTAACATGTTCAAAACTTTTTTGGAGCAGGGGGTAGGGGATGTTGTAAGTCAATTCTTAAACTTAATAATTCTTGACACATTTTTAGCTCACCTGGCTCGAAGGGCCAAGTGAGCTTTCCTCATCACTTGGCGTCCGTCGTCCGTTGTCGTCATCGTCTGCGTCGTCGTCCGTCGTCGTTAGCTTTTTACAAAAATCTTCTTCTCTGAAACTTCTGAGACAAATTTAACCATACTTGGCCATAATCATTATTAGGGTATCTAGTTTAAAAAATGTGTCCGATGACCCCGCCAACCAACCAAGATGGCCGCCTTGGCTAAAAATAGAACATAGGGGGAAAATGTAGATTTTGGCTTATATCTCTGAAACCAAAGCATTTAGAGTAATCTGACATGGGGTAAAACTGATTATCAAGTCAAGATCTATCTGCCCTGAAATTTTCAGACAAATCTGACAACCTGTTGTTGGGTTGCTGCCCCTGAATTGGCAATTTTAAGGAAATTTTGCAGATTTTGGTTATTATCTTGAATATTATTATAGATAGAAATAAACTGTAAACAGCAATAATGTTCAGCAAAGTAAGATCCACAAATAAGTTGTCATGATCAAAATTGTCAGTCGACCCCTTTAGGAGTTATTGCCCTTAATAGTCAATTTTTAACAATTTTTTGTAAATTTTGTAATCTTTTACAAAAATCTTCTTCTCTGAAACTTCTGAGACAAATTTAACCATACTTGGCCATAATCATTAATAGGGTATCTAGTTTAAAAAATTTGTCCGATGACCCTGCCTTCCAACCATCATGGCCGACTTGGTTAAAAATAGAAAACATAGGGGTAAAATGCAGTTTTTGGTTTATATCTCTGAAACTAAAGCATTTAGAGCAAATCTGACATGTGGCAAAAATGTTCATCAGATTTAGATTTATCTGCCCTGAAATTTTCAGACAAATCCGACAGCCCGTTGTTGGGTTGCTGCCCCTGAGTTAGTAATTTTACAAAAATTTTGCAGTTTTTTGTTATTATCTTAGATATCATTATAATATCTAATATCTAATACTATTAATTATGATTTTAACCTTATTTTACATGATTTCCAAAGCATCAGTAAATACAGGTGAGCGACACAGGCTCTTGAGAGCCTCTAGTTTAAAGGATGAATTGAATAAGTACAAATTAAAATCTGAAAGCAATTATGTATTGCCAAACTCCAAAAAAGTGGTACTCAATGATTTCTGAGTAAATACATCAGTTTATTTTTGTAAGTGTACCATATTTCTACTAACTGTGATGATATATTTCTGTTGTGTTCAGATTTCAGTATTGTACCATATCATTTACATTTATTTACTTCTGATAATTTGTACTTTTTGTGATATTGCAATTGTAGACAAAATACATTATGTATACATAACTAAGTTGTTGTTTTAATTGTAAAACCAGTGAGACCAAGTTTGAGCCTCAGACGAGCTCTAAAATTAATGCCAACCTATTTTTAAGGACTTATGCCCCTTGGAAATGAGAATTTATATGGGAGGTTCATTATAAGTGCTTTCAAACCTTCATTTCTTGTAGGATTGTTATGAAATTTATATCATAGGTTTATATCAGAATTTTCTTGACAAGGTAGAAAATCAGTGTTGATGGACTATTTTAAAGGAGCTATAAATTATACTGAAAGTTGCACCTACATTTCTTGTTAGATTGTTATGAAATGTATATCAAAGGTTTATATAAGCAATGATTGGCCTTTTTCCAAATTAGTGCTGATAAACTATTTTTTAAGGAGTTATGCCCCTTGGAAATGAAATTTCTATGGAAAATACATTGTATATTACCTGTCATTTCCAGCAAAAAATGCTACATAAATAACTCATGATCATCATAGTTTGTAAATCCTGTCATGCTGATCATTTTTGCTATAGTTTCTCTCTATTTACTATAGATTCCACTAAATGCACAAAAATTGGAAAAAAGTGATCATTCAAGCCCTAGAAGTAGTTAACAACTTCAACCATGTTGACATTTTTGTAGATCTTGTCCTACTGATTAATTTTGCTATTTACAGCTTCTCTCTTCTAACTACAGTTTTGGCAAAAAACACAAATATGAGAGAAGAAATTGACTTTCAAAGGCACCTACTCCTTCAAGGAGTTGACTAATGATTATACGCCCGTTTACGGGACGTATTATGGTATACCGTTGTCCGTCTGTCCGTCCGTCCGTCTGTCCGTCCGTCCGTCTGTCCGTCGTCAACATGTTGGACATTAACTCAAAAATGCTTTCACCAATTTGTATAAAACTTTGGTGAATTGTTTATATCTATTGACGTGAGCTCCCTTTCGTTTTTTATAAAATTTAGATTTTAAGTTTCCGAGTTATGGGGTTTTATTCATAAAAAAAAGGGGGATTTTCCAGTTTTCGGACAATAAGTCAAGAATGCTTTCACCAACTTGCAAGAAACTTTGGTGAATTGTTTATATCTATTGACATGAGCTCCCTTTTGATTTTTATAAATTTTAGATGTTACGTTTCGGAGTTACAGGGTTTTATTCATAAAAAAGGGGGGATTTTCCAGTTTTCGTACAAAAACTCTAAAATGCTTTCAGCAATTCTTTTGAAACTTTGTTGAATTGTTTGTAAGTATTGATGTAAGCTCTCTTTAAAATTTTATAAATTTTACATTTTACATTTCTAAGTAATGGGGTTTTATTAATTAAAAAAAGGGGTGATTTTCCAGTTTTCGGACAATAACTCAAAAACGCTGTCACCAATTCTCATGAAACTTTGGTGAATTGTTTATATCTATTGATGTAAGCTCCCTTTTTATTTTCATATATTTCTAATATGACATTGAGAATTAATTGAACTTTATTTGTTTATAGGCTGGCAACAGATATACTAAGTATTGCACAACAGCAAGAAATCTTTAATTGAATATAAATTCAATTCATATAACCAATTTCAAGTTCTTTGACTACATTTATTCAGAAACCTATAATATGTCAAATATTTAATTACAATCCAAATTCAGACCTGAATCAAGCTTGAATATTGTGTCCATTTTTGCCCCAACTGTACAGGGTTGGACCTCTGCGGGCGTATCTAGCTGCGCTCAGCGAAGCAGTTTATTTTTGTCTCGCCTTGACGGAGTCTAAAATCGAGACGTAGGTATGCTGTTTCTGGCTTCGGCGGCAGCGGCATCAACAATGTATTAGTTTGTGATTAGGTCTAGTTCATGGTGAACCACTAGTGGTAGGTCAATGATATTTGGTATGCAGTTGTATAAGCATTGGCACATCTCATTACCATGGAGATTATTTGGCCCCGCCCCCCCCTCCTCATTCATGGCCTATTGACTTTGAACTTTTGCTTAGTTTTCATGTATTAGTTTGTGATTAGGTCAGTTTAAGCGGAACCGTTAGTGGTAGGTCAATGATAATTGGTATGCAGTTGTATAAGCATTAGCACATCTCATTTCCATGGAGAATATTTGGTCCTTACCTCTCAGTAATGGTCTATTGACTTTGAAACTTTTGCTTAGTTTACATGTATTAGTTTGTGAATTGGTCAGTATAAGATGAACCACTATTGTTAAGTCAATGATATCAGGTATGCAAATGTATTCGCATTTGCAAGTTTCATTTCCATGGAGATTATGTAACCCCACCCCCTAGTTATGGTTCATTGACTTTGAAACTTTTACATAGTTTACAAGTTAATGTTTGTGTTTAGGTTTGTTTAAAGGGAACAACTTATGAAAAGTCAATGGTATTTGGTTTGCAGTTGTATTAGCATTGGCACATCTCTTTGCCATGGAGATTGTTTAGCCCTATACCTTCAGTCATGGTTCATTGACTTTGAATATTTGCATAACTTACATGATAAAGTATTGCTATTTTAATTTCAACATTTGCATTATCAAAATAACAAATAGGCGAGATATATCTCTGTGTTAACAG